TCACCATCAGGATGATGCTGCCAGAAACCAAATCTGAGCTCCTGGCAGGCAACGCAGGCTGAATTTAGGCACTTGGTTCAAAGAGAGCTGCAAGACACCCAGTTCAGGCCCAAGACTGCATGGATGTCTCTTTCCTGGCACCCCACCATGCCAGCACACACCTGGAGCAGTACGGTAACCCCATCAGTGTGTCAATAAGACAGGTAGCCCTGAATGAGGCAGAGACAGGCTCCACTGGCTACGTGCAAGGGGACTTATCCCATACATGGCATACCTGAATTGCAGTGCTCTCAGCGGTCAGTGGCAGGAGGATCCTACTCCCCGGAGCAATCCACAAAACACACCTGGCCTGGGGCAGGCAGCCCTGTGCACCCCTGCTAACAGTGCTCCCTACGAGCATATCTGTGCACTGACACACCTCCTACTACTGCAGCACAAAGCAAACTTGCAAGTGCTGAGGAGGGATAGCCACAAGACCCCCTGCTCCTAGAACAATGCTCTTATCACAGCTTACAGCCTCCACACCTTCTTGCTCCCCTCAGGTAGCCCCCCATATCACACCTCAGTGGGACCAAGGCCCTCATAACCCTCGGTAGAATCCAGTCCTACAGCCAAAGCTCACTCCATCCTGCTAGGGAAGGAGGGCTCTGTGCCCAAAAAGGTCTCTGGTGGGAGCACAGGTACCAAATGAAATAAGCAAGAATAACAAAGTTATAGCCTTGTAAAGTCACCACACAAGGAGGATCACATTCTTTAAAACAGGTCAAAACTGGATAATTTTTTACATGGTAAAAGAAGGACCTGCCAAAGGGGACAAACCTAGGACCCTTAGGAGCAAGCCACAGGAAAGATTAATCACCTGAAGTCTTGGAGGGGAAATTAAAAATGTCAGAGGGGCAACAAGAGAAAGCCCTGATAAGAGCTGCTAATTGTCAGCATTTACGTCACCACCACCAGAGAGGCTCTTTTATTACATTTTAGTCTCCAGGGCCACAATTTCTCATGAGCGGTTATTTTTGCCACTTAGCTGATCTATGTCCCTTGGTATGTGCCTATAAGCACTGACAAAGGCGACCAAGAAGAGGTAACAGCAGTGAGGTAGGGCTTCAGACACACTTTTGCCTGAGTCTTTTGCTGGAAGGAAATAGTACTAATTACCATAACAATGAAGTAAATATCACTTCCTCCATACTAAAGCTGCTTTCATGTTCCAAAAATGCTTTAGAAAAATGAGCCATTATTACTGTGATTGAAGGAGATTACATAGAAAACTAGTAAATTTCCCTCCCTCTGTGGGTTTAACAGCACTTGCCAGCTGTGTCCTTCCTGGAGCTGGCAGCTTTACCCATAGCACCTGAGGTCCTTCAGGATGTACAACCCCATGGCAGGAGACCCTGTGGCAGAAGGCATTTATGAAAATTCACAAGTTTGACCATCCTGGTCTTCTGTAAAAGCACTTCACAGAAGTTCTTGTGTATTCCACTTCCCACAGCCTTTCCTCACCTGGGGCCTGCGGGCACATCAGAATTGTACCATGGTGGCGGCACCCAATGCTCTCAGCAGCTCGATGGACGCTGTTGGTTTTTGAGCAATTCCTTCATTCCTTCTCCCCTAGGAGAGGCCTGCAGCCAGCCCTGACAAGACTCTGAGCAGCGCACCCCACTGTGCCAAGCCAGGAAGGCACAGGGAGCTTGGGGCTCACTGCCCCACAGGGGTGCCGGTGCTCCTGTCGGCCTGCAGGGACAGGGCCCAGCTCCCGGCCAGCAACAGCCCGGCCGAGCACCTGCGTGCACCCGGGGGCAGGCGGGGACAGGAAAGAGAGGCAGCCTGAACCGAGCCCTGGCGTTCCACGGGCAAGTGCTCGAGTGGAGCAGGGAAAATCAAGATACGATTCGGTAATCGTTTAGATGCAAAATTTTGTCATTTCCTAACTAATTTATCTTTAAAGGAGGGGGACAAGAGGGACTTCGAACAGAGTCGGGCAGAGGCACTTAAAGCACCTTAACATGGCTTCTGTAAACAAAGACTGCTAACTATACATGGCAAGCAAAGGCAGGCGAGCATTCAACCCACCTCGGTGAGTCGGATTCCCACGGGTTGGGCAGCCAAACCCGACTCAGGGCTGGCGGGGCTGAGGAGATTCCCACTGCCTGCGCCGAGGGGCTCCCTACGGACAGGCTGAAGAGGAAGATTCGGTGGGAAGGAAAGATCCCAGTCTGTTCCAGGTGAAGGGGCTGAGTGGGCCACCACGGATTTCTTCGTTAACTCTCTCCCCCCACCCCCTCCCCGCCCGCAAAAAAACCAAAATAACTGGGGGGGGGGGGGGGGGGAAGAGAAAAAGACAATCCACACACACACACACACACACACACACCCTCCCGCAACGGCTCTGTCACCAACCCTGCTGTTGTGCCACCTGCCAGCCCGACCAGACCCAGACCCAGACCCAGACCCAGACCCAGACCCAGACCCAGACCCCGGCCCCGGCCCCGGCCCCGGCCGCCCCCAGCGCCGCCCGCCCTACCCGGGAGATGGCGAGGGGCTGCTCGAAGTCTCGGCCGCCCACCAGGCGGAAGCCCCAGGGCCCGGGGCCCGACAGCACGATGCGATGCGTCCCCATGTGCGCGCTGCACCTCTCGGATCCCCCGGCAGCGCCGCCGCCTGTACCGGCACGGCTCGCCCGCCCACGGCCCGCCCCGCCGGCACCGCCCCGCCCCGGGGGAGCCGAGCGCCCCGCCGCCCTGCGGCTCCTGCCGCCTCTCCCGAGTAGGAATCGCGGTGTCTCGGCCCCTCAGCCGCCCGCGGCGGAACTGACCGCGGCCCGCAGGCAGGACAAGCCCCCGGCGGCCAACCGCACGCAGGAGTGCCCCGGTGCAGCATCTCCCAGGCAAATATGTCTCGGCCTGCTCCACCCTGGAGCAGTGTTAACTCTGGGGGCGATGGAAATAAGCGGCCTTGGCGTGCAGTTTCCCATCCAGGAATTGATGAGTGAGGGCGGAGCCTTGTAAGGGTATTATCTTTCTGCTAATTTATCCCAGGTTCATCACTGCTTTAGGCAGTGGTTTGTTTATATCTAGCCCCTTAAGCATGGTACCACTAACAAAAGGAATTCTTCTATATGGTTTTTTCAGTTAACCTTCTCAGCTGTGATTCAGGAAAAATAAGTTGTTCCAGTTGCATGTTAAGCCCGCACTACTCTGATGATGGACAGGGTGGGAGAGGTTGGTTACAGCAACAGTGCTGGCGTTTACAACTTGAGTTCAAGCATTGCTGCTTATTTAGTTAATAAATAAGCTCACCCACAAGCAGAACATCAGTGAGCCACAGCTCAAGGCTTCTGCGGAGGCAGGGATTCAGCCACAGCTGGGGAGCATGGAGAAGTCAGCAAGCAGGGGTGACAGGGGTCACCCAGCTACTGGTCCTAGAAGACATGGATGGCTATTAATGATCCCATTGCAAGGCCCACCCTTGCTTCTGCAGTCCCCTTTCTTGTCTGCCTTAATTTTCCTACCTTAACTTGTCATTTCACAGTTTTTTTCTTTCCAGGGTCCATGTGTCCAGACTATTAATCTCTATTAGAGAGAAGTAGTTCTTCAACCACATCATTACACATCTCCTGGCAGTGAAGAAAGAAAGTGACACTGAAATCTCCTTTCCCACAGGGTGTGCAGGACTTCTAGAGGACTGTGGCACACTGCTGGGTCATCTTGCCCTCTCTTCACTCACAAAATCATTTCTAGCGTGTTCCTTACCTTAGATTAGCATAGAGCATGACATCAATAAATACCCACATTCAGCAGCTATAGATGAGTCTCTCTCCCCTCCCTGTCCAGGATGCTGTAAACCAAAGGTGAGAAGTGCTTGTGAATGCAGCAAAGCCATAGCCAGGCTGCTCTTTAGCTTTTATATAAGGTAACCTGCAAAACAGAAAAATGGGCTTGTGTCTATGCGCTTTCTAAAGACATATAAAATAGTTTGAGGCTTTTGTTGTCCTCGTAGTTTGGTTTTAGGATGGGCTTGTTTATAGTTTGGCTTCCTAAAATCATTGTGAGCACAGCCGCGATGTTATCTGTCTGCTGGGCTATCCGGTCACATCACCACAGTTTGAATCTGTTGCTCAATTTTGGCTCAGTTTGAGGTAGAGGTCTCCAAGAAGTTAAAACTCCTTGTGAAATACCAGTCTTTGGAGTGAGCACAGCCCTGCACAGGCAGCATGCAGGAGTCAAACGTGTGGAGGCGTGTGGGGCATTTGGGGTACTCGTGCATTACTGGACCCCAGGGAGCACACCCAGGTAGCTCAGCTGTTGCCTTTCCTTTGCTCTACTCCTTCAGGGTCTGTTCCCTTACAGAAGGCACTGCCAGAAAATCCCAGCTAGCTGTATTGCTGCAGGGCTGGGAGATGTGACATGATCACCACAGACCTTGCACAAACCCCTTGATTCAATGCTGTAGCCGTACTTGCCCAGTCAGAGTGCAGCTACCACAGAAGTGAGTGTCTTAAAGCTTTTGACCTGAGTCAGGGTTAAAAATGCACACATAAGCCCAATGTCAGTTGACATCCCCTCCTACACACAGACTAGCATTTAGGATTTCTTGTCTGACTTAACCTGTGTGGTCTTGTCATCTGAGAGTGAGTCACAAAGACCCTTTGTAAACCAGTGGACTTGGGTGTACTCCTGCCCCGCAGGTCTGCATGCATACCACAGCAGCTGCACCCTGACCCCACATTACAGTGAGATCTGGGTGTAAACCACTTTTTTTCTCTGCTTTACACCTTGGTTTCAAAAAACTCACATCCAGCCTATGGCTCAGGAAGGAGAACCAGTGAGCTCCGGCCAAATCACAAGGATCCTCATGTACAGAACAGTGGGGAAGCCCATGGCAAACACCTACAGCTCAGTATGGACACAGCCAAAGACAGCCACAGCAGGGCACCAGTACAAAAGTACAGGAACAACCAGAATAGATTTTATTTAATAATTTGTACAAGGAACACAAAAGTAATTCAATAATTCCATTTATTAATTGTCAAATAGTAATCCACTGCAATAAGAAACAAAAAATCAACACAAAAATAAGTTGCATTTTGTGTGGATATGAGAGTGTGTGTGTATGTGTGTGTGTGTGTAACTTAAACTGGCAAGAGCAAGAACCAAAAATTAACCTCTAAACGAGTATGTTATATACAATCAATATCAACACGTTATTTCGCTGGATAGATTAATTTGATGTTATCCAATCTTAGCAACAGGCCTAAATATTGCTGCAAATAACTGGAGGGCAAATCCAAAGCAGAACAACAAACCCATAAATAAGATGCAGGATTCAATGTATCTCCTGCAGAAAAGAAACAGTAGTGCTTTGTGTCATATCTGAAAGCCTTTCATAATGAATGTTTTGTGCTAAAACTCTTTATGTGAACATACATGGAACTCCATCATTTAAATAAAAGTGGAAAAAAAACCCAACCTTTCACAACTGCCTTTTTTTCCCTCCCTTCACTCAATGTGTTTAAATTATTTTTCTATACAAGGTAAGTACATTGTCTGTACAAAGTTAAATATACATATTTACAGTCAAACTTCTGAGACACGGAGTCTTCTCTTCCACTGACCTAGGTGGAAGACAAGCCTACTTGATTTCAAACCCAGGAGCATGGCTAGTTTATCAAAACATTGCAAGTCGTGCTAACAGTTAGTTGTAGTTACTCTTAATAAATCTGTATAAAAGCATCAGCATAAAAATAGGCATTTTATATTATTAAATACGGCTTATGACAAAATAGCAATCTAACCCTTTGCTATTTGTACGGTAATTGTAGGAAGCAGAGTCTGATAGAACCGGTTTTGTTTATGCTTTTTCTTAATAAGAAAATGTCTATCAAAAGAGTATTCAGAGTGGATTTACAGGCAAGCATCCAGCCAAGCCATGTTATTTTTTTTCCTCAAGGAAATACAAATCTATGTAACGGGTAGTAACTGCTGGGAACAGCATTCGAAATTGATTAGACTTTTTTGCATGACTAAGAGGCAGCCAAAATGCATGTTTTATTTGAGACCTACCATCAACACTGTAACAAAAAGGAAAAAAAAAAGGCACCCTTAGTGATAACGTTGCTCAGATTTAATAGAGCCACTAAGATTTAATGCTGGGAAAGAAGCAAAACCTTCATCCCGAGGCATATACTGCAAAAAGTGTGTGATCCTTTAGGGCCAGCAACAGGGCATGAGGAGCAGAGAAAGTGAACAACTGTAGGACTCAAAACCAGGATTTGCTCTCACAGATGTTCTGCTTATTGGTTCTGTTCTTTGTGCAGATAAATGTCAAAGCCAGGCTGATTTCTCTTTAAAAACAGGACTCAGTTCATTTTGATGCACACAATACACTCACACACACACACACACACACCCTGCACAAAAGAAAAAAACCTGCAGAGATTGGTAATGTTATTAAAGGGTTTGGGATTTTTGCCCATTTGCATTATGTTTTATCTGACGTCTCTGGATTAAACCAGTCCCAAGCTCCTTTTCCACACAGTGCTCTGCAGTTTAACTCTGTCAGCCAGCCACTGCCTCTGCTGGGTCTTAAGATGCATGACAGGAAGTGGAAAGCAGAGCAAAGTGAGTCTTCAGAGAGGCAGAAACTGTGAGGAAAGCCTGAACTCCCTGAAACCTGCCAATGAACATGAGTGGCTGCGTACTGCCCAAAGCACTATCCTACCTCAACACAAACAAAACCTATACCACATGCTTCCCTGAAGCCTTCTCAGAGGTACTCCGTACAAATTAAGATTATCATCAAAACTCTTGCCGAGGAAGGGAGAGGAATACACAAAGGCAGCACTGTAAACTAGAAACTGTCTCTTCTTCAGCAAACAAATCACACCCTGACTCCGTGGAAGCAGGGCTACACATTCAACTCAATACTGTACCACATAACCACATCCTCCTAACACATCTCGTCTCTTGTCCATTACATTCATAAATTGTCTGTTTCTTCACTGTTTGAAAACATCATCTGGAAAACAATCCCATCACTGACATGGTAGGATCACTGTTATTTTACAGGTACAAAAGCTTCACGTAGTTGCCTGGGAAGGTGCCGAATTGCCTTGTTCTCCTGGATGTACCTGTTGCAGAATAAAACACAAGGAATCCAGAATAAGAGGGAGACATGCAAGGAAGGCTTAAGGGTTTAAAAACGAAGAGGTGACAACCTCTTCTGCCTGGAGGCATTGATTTCTAATACTAAATAGGAGTCCTGATCAAAGAGCCTTTTGGTACAGACCAGATCACAATTAATTCCGCTACTCATCACCTTTGGTCTTCACTTTTAACAATTAATAAAGTGCTGGTGAAAGCTCCTATGCCTATAGGCTAGAAGCCAAACTCCTATCAGCGTAAGTGAGCTAATCTCCATTAAGAAATAACAAGTCTAGATTTGCAGTGTTGAGATGGAGAACACTGTCCAGACTTGCACTCTTTGAAGGTAAAGGATTTTGCTAAACATACAGTTGAGTCTGTATTTTCAGGGACTGCAACTCCTACCCATGCGTTCCCTTCATCCCCTACTTTGCCACTTTCTGTAGCTTGTCATGGCTCCCTCAGCTTTGGAAATGCTACAGAAATCCAGTTTTCTTTGGTTCCCTCTGTTGCTCTGTCACCTGTGTGAGCAAGAAGGATCGGGAGGAAGAGGGGAGTGGAGATACTAAGAACATAAAAAAAGGAAAACTAAAGACCTAGCAAGGAAAACAAAGGTCCACCAACCTGCAGCTTAATTTCAATATTCTTGGTGGGAAAAGATCAGAAAATTGTGGAAAAATTTAAGTTGATTTTTTCACCATTTTGACCCCACAAATGAAAGCAAATTCCAGACATCCTGCAAAATTGCTCATCCCAAAAAGCTCTGCTGACATGCAAGTATCACACTCACCCACAAACCAGCCGTCATCGCATTTCTCCATGACATCGACAATGTCACCATCTCTCAGTTCCAGCTCATCATCATTCTGAGGAGTATAGCTGTAGAGGGCTTGATAGCTAACTCTAAAACCAGAAAGATACTACATGTTAGCAACCGGATTTCTCTGACATCCCATCAGGAGGTGACGTTTCCCTTCCCCTGATTCCTACTATATGTTGTTCAATGCAATCTGGACTTGTGTTTTCCTCTTGAGAGCTGGAAGCCAACTGCATAGAGCTGGCTGTGGTCAAAGGGCCACGGTAGTAAAAACTGTCATGCCTGCACCGTGTGGGATATGTGGAGAGCTTCTCTTTCCTCTTTGCCATGTAGTTGTCTGCACAGACTGAAAGAACCAGTCTTCCTAACATGTAGCACCTAGAGACCCTATGAAGGCAAGCCAAAACCTGGATACACTCATTCCTGGCTAAATGAGACATCTGTTCCCTTACCCAGACACATAGGCAGGGCTATGAGTGACCAAATGACAGAGGAAAGGACTTCAGAAAAAGATACTGCCTGCTGTATGGCACTAAGTTTGCTGGATCAGGCTGAGGAGGTATGGTGCAAACAAAACCCAAGGTTGAATCCTGCCCTGAGACAGCACTTGCTCCAGAGGAACTCTGCATTTATTAGAGGAGCCTTATGGAGTGGAAACAATCAAGTGGGCACATTTGGGGAAGCTTCAGTCCCCTGCCTGTGGGAAGTGAAAACAGAGCGAATGTGAGACTTTCTGTTCTGCATAAAGGGAAAGCAAAGGCTCCTTTCATGAACCAACTGCCAAGGCGTGTCAGTCCCCAGGACGCAGCATAGGCTACTATTCTCACCTGAGGAACAGGCCAACAATGCACCAAGTGGCATCAGTGTCGGGACAGCTCAGTGTACTGTGAGGAGCTAAGAACAGCAGTGAACACACTGATCACACCATATGAGTCAGGTGTAGCCAGTGGATATTAACTTGTCTCCAGTTTCAAGATACAAAGACATTGAGACTGTCTCTATAATAGAGACCCAGTCCTGGATCGTGAGGTCATTTCAAGTGCTATACAGACATAAAGGTCACAGTTTGAAACTACCCCTTATGATGATATGTGGCTATTTTTGTTCTTTAAAGCAAAGCTGATGTTTCTGCATAATTCTAATTAACTCCTGAAACACTGAAAACTCTCATATCTCCCTATCTCTACCACCAGTCAGAAATAAGGCCCCTGGAAGAGATGGGAACCAAAAGGACTTACATGTCTCGTGGTGTTTGACTTCGCTCAGGGCTGGCTCCTTGCTGCTGTGCTTGAGGTTGCTGAGAAATGATGAGAGATGGTTTATGGTCATTAGTGGTCACCTTGTGGCGAGAGTCAAGAGGCTGAGAAATAGTACTGCAGTAATGAACAGACTTTTCTGCAATGTTTATGATCTCATTGCAAACAGCTTCCTGCGTGGTAGGCAGCATTGACATCCAAGAACACCCAAAGGACAGTCAACAGGGGGAAGGGAGGGGAAAATATAGACAAGAAGAGATGGGACATTCCAGTTGCAGCACATAAGTCCAGTAAAAAAAAAAAAAAAAAGAGTTGTAGATCCAGGTAAATATCCAGGTAGTGGAGTGCAGAAGGGATCCAGGTGTAAGCATGGAAAAACAGGCAAGATACAGAAGAATTTGGCATTTAGTTTGAAGATTTGTAACAAATACATATGCATATATTTTTAAAAGCAGCAGCATAAGAGGTTGCAATTAGTTAGGCAGTGACACCATTACAAATGCTATGAAGTCAGTTCAGAATGCAAGGTGATGTGGGCTGCTCCATTCATGCATTTGGCTTCATTTAACTTATACTCAGGGTCTGGCAGCACAATTAGCCCAACTTCTCATTGGCTATGACAGTTTTTCTAATTGTTAAATTCCTTTTTTCTGTTGCAAACAAAACAGTATATGCAGATAGATAAATATGTACCTAGTTTGCAATTAAAAATAGTGCTGGCATTTTATCTCTACTGAGATGTTACTGTCTGGGTGAAGAGTGTCTAGGACTACACATCTGAGTCAAACAGGGGCCTTACCACATAGCTCTTTTCAGACTCTGTGAGATCTGGTCCAGCTCTCAATGAATGGTGAGAAGGCTGTGTGATCACCAAGCAAATGATAAGGAAGACATTTTAGCAGATGTTACATTGGTCAGATTTAAAAAAAAAATGTCAGTGGAGTGCAGACAAAAGAAAATGAACAACTCTTCCCCTCCCCACCCCAACATCACACTTCTTAGACAGCAAGGTCCTTCATTTACTCAAGAGACATTGAGGCTACAGTAACACAACTGCACTGCAGCACAGAAAATGCTGCAAAGAGAAAGATGACAGCAAAACAGAACTTAGAGCAGGGAATCAGAGTGGAAGGTTATGGACACAGCCACAGCCAGAAATGGTACATAGTGTCATATTGCATTCCTGTAGGGGAAAAAGAACAAGGACAAGAGCACATACTTGAGAGCACCAAAACTGAAAGGCCAAAAGCATGCTGAGAAAAATCTGCTGCTGTTTTTAGAAAAGTCCTCAATGACTTTGACATGGAAGAGAACAGCAAATCACTTTCTTCTTAAAAAAACCAGCTCAAGTCCTCAGAATGCCATGTAGGCCCATCAAAATCACTTCAGCCTGTGCCAAGCAGGGATCTGAAATGTTCTGTTAATTCCCACAACAGGCACAAAATGACCTGACTGGAAAACCCATCTCCAAACACCACCACCAGTGAAGCTGCTGGTCTCTGCCCTGCCTCTATCCCCAGTCACAACTCTTCACAGGGACTTGTGGGCACAGCAAGGAAAATCAGGGTGTTTGAGGATGGAGGTTTTATGAGGAAGGGAAACATCACTGAAAAAATCACACAAGTATCCACAGCCTGGTTTGGCATACTTTTGCATATTCATACACCTACTGAAAGCAAGGGACATGCTGGGAGTAAATGGGATGTCTGAACTAGTGTACTGCCTGCAGTGCTACTTGGTAAAGTGGATTGGATAAGATACACAGCATGACCATCCTCTGTGATCATTCAACACAATTTTCAAACTAAATTTCAAAGGTCTAAATTGTTATGCTTTCTGTCCACCTCTTTATCCCCTTCAACAGTGCCCTTGAGTAAAAGGTTTGCTTTCTCATGGCAGAAGAGGAGGATAAAGAGGTCTGTGTGATACCTTCAGCACAAGCATGCTCAAAGAGTTTGGAGAAGTGCAGGGTGATGAGCTCATCCCTGTCTAATTCCTGTTCTCAAAGCTCCTCTGAAACACATCTTGGACCTCTGGAGCTGTGCCCATCATTGTATTAAAGCAAACAGTCTCTTTTCTCAAGGACTGTGACCCACTCTAGGCCAACCCAGCCCCACAACTCCTTTGTTGTCAGCTCTACTGTCTGGGGCTGGAATCTGGGATCACTGCCCTAAGAAGCAATGCTCTGTTACCATGTATATTTCTATAGAAAGAAAATTAAACCTAGCTTGAATAGACTAATTGCAGTGCAATTTGCAATCAAAGTGTTTACTGGAGCCTGAAATTGTCACAGGATTTCTAGAAGTCCTTCCTGCCTGCCTATCATCAGCCCTGAAAGGCAAATGGAAAAATTAGAAATTTGAAGTTAATATTGAGCAGACCAACTGGATATAGTGCATCAAATATGACAAGATCAGAGCTAACTCAGGTGGTTAAGTAGCTGGGGAAATCAATTTCCAGGTTGAGGCAGCTGTAAGAATGATTTTTTTTCTTTTATTCAAGAAAGTGCCTCTTGACTCCATACTAATAAATTGACAGCTGGAATTGCTCCATGAGCTCCTAAGACCACATGGTCCATTTCCCATTGATTACTTGTGACCTTCCTGACCCACTTTTCCTCCTGAAAGCATTAATAACTATGAATTAAATTAGTTATTTGAAAGCTAAAAAATTGACACTACCTCTGAATGCTCCATGGTGCAAGCTTGTATGTGTATTATCAGGAGGTGCAGCCTACCAGCAACAGAACCCTGGCCACATTCCCTTTCCTGGCAGGATTCTCATAGGAACTTCTATGAGACAGCTGGGCAGGAACAAAGGCCAAGCAGTCCCCTGCCCTCCTAGCAGCTTCCAGTTCCTGAAAGACACATGACAAAGCAGATCCCTCTGGCCTCTGCTCCAGAGATCCAGGCAGCTCCTACCAAAACACTAACTCCTGGGCTACAGCAGAGCCCTGCAGTGAGGTGATGAAACACCCTACAGTCAGCAACTATGCAGTATCAGCCAAACAGGACGAAAAAACGACCAGATCAAATACTATAATTTTAGGTCGTAAACGTACCGCCCCACTGCTTTAAACAAGTGACCTTGATAGCATGATCTAGCTGGCTTCTTTTTTTTTTTTTTTTTTTTTAAATCAGCCAAACCAACCCTACACTATTCTTACAGGGAGATAGCATATTAAAGGGAGAAAAAAAGTGTTACAGGTCCAAATGCTCTTCAAACCCAGTTTCAAAAAGCCTATATACTACCTATGTTGGTGGCTCCTTGTGCCACAGGTGGCTGAGGAATCAGCAAGGGCGGGGCACAGCTCCGAAGTATAAAACACAGAGGTTCCCCAAAAAGGGTGAGCTAGCTCTGCTAGCAAAACAGAGGGCCCTAAAAGTGACCAAGTATTCACAACCCATGAGGACACCTTAAGTCCTACCCCTCCAACCACACTTTTCGTAAAGACTAAGTGAATAAACTGAAGCGAGTGCTTAAGTCTCTCTGTCTCCATGTCTACAGACTATGTGTACAAATACGCAGTACAGTCAGTCCTAAAACTCAGCTGACCACTGTTTCCACCTCATATAGTGTTTGAGGATGGGTCTAAGGAGCACCGCAAGTTTGTAAAATTACCAGAAAAAGGTTCTACATTAAGAGCCTAGAAAAGCTCTAAGGCAGGTTTTAAATATTAGGAAGAGAGATGCCGGAGCTACTCAACAGTGCTCTCCCTGTTCCTAGACAGGTCAAGTAGCATCAGTGCATCTATCCGTTGCAGGTCTCATTTACATGTCTTCTTTCATCCATTTCAGCTGGGAGTTAAAGGACTACATGAGCAAGGAGAAAGTTAAACAGAACAGACTGACAGATAGACAAGACAGAAAGACAAATTGTTACCCCCTCAGAGAAGGGCAAACAGCAGCAGTGATGCTCCCACACGTGAATGGAGAACCATGAGCAGGGAGGCCTCTCCAGCCCAGGCAAAAATAAAAAGGAAAACCCCTGCACACACCAAGCCCCAGCTCTGGTGAAAGTGAATGGAAAGCTGGCTGAAGAGCTCTCACAAAGGACACTGAAAAGGCTGCAGAGTGGAGCACCCGACCTGAAGGCTGTCATAGTCAGGAGAAAGACTCCCCAGCCCCCGGATCAGAAGCTAAAGGCTGTGTCTACAGCAGAAAAATGCATTTCCCATAAGCAAGTACCAATGTCTGCTGCAGGCTGGGCAGCTCTGCCTTGGACAGTAAGCACTTAGCAGAAACACTGCTGTGCTGAATCTGTGGAGCAATAGAAAACCACTGGAGGGGGGATAAAAGTTTACCTTGGATATGGTGCAAAGTAATTAACATACTAAGTAAGGGTAGTTGGTCTGTACTGGGGAACATGGGGGTCTGAACATACACCTCATATGTTCTCCTCTCTACTGGCCAAAACCAGGTGAAATTACTTACCACTCTGCAGGAGTGATTTTGTACAAGTGCAAAGGAGCAGACAGGTCCCCACTAACAACCCTCATGCTGCCAGGTGACATAGGGACCTTTGGTCAGTCACTCCTGCCTTCTCCACCCCACAGCTACAGTCCAGCCCCAGGGCTGAAGCTGTTGCACTGATCACACTGTGCTAGCACCACTGCCGACTGTCACAGTGTGCTAAAAGGACCTCAGAGCAAAACGGGAATTAAAATGGAAAATTCCTGTGGGTCCCCCAAAATAAACTGATTTGACAGATTACATTACTCCTTAATATCATGTTTTTCTAGAATATTGAAACAAATTATCTGTAAGTTATACTTAGAATATCTTTCATATGCTGTGGGGTGGTTCTGTTTTCTTTTTAGTTTGAACTAATAGCAAACAGAAGGAAATTTCAGAGTAGCTCAAAGAGCCATTGCAATTTATATTTTTACTTAATAGGCAAGAACACAATCCTTACACCAGTCCTGTACCAAAGGGGTCCTTAACTTGCAAATAACCCTCAGTCAGAATTTTATAACTGGAGAGGCTCTCTATAATGAGAAAGAAAACTAAAATTCAAGATCGTAAAGTACCTCATACGCCAGGGATGGACAGTAATGGAAACAAAACTCAAATGTCATGGCTCATTTCCATGTCTGCTAAGTGCTTTTCTCATTTGATTAAAATCAGTCAAAAGGTACCGATTTTTGAAAAGCCTCCAGGGCATTACCTGAAGTTCTGCTGAAGCAATCAGCCTCTGTATGGGTCACACAGATAATAAGAAGTCATTTGCAATATAAATACCACTCCTGTTCCCTAAACAATCATAGATTCAGAGCTGGAAAGAAGGTCAAAACTACTGGGTTAACGTCACACACAGTTTTAACTTGACACTGACAATGCTATGATTGTCAAGGCATATAAAATACAAGTATTGACTTGACATTGACTCCAAAAAAAGGCCACAGGGTCCTATTACAACCAGGTGCAACACCCAAAATAGAACTGTGTGCTAGCCATCCCTTGGGAGAAATGTCTTTCTCTAAATGCTCTTTCAGACCACATACATCCAGTGTAAGCACCCACAGGACCAAGCAGATCAGGGGTCAGGAGAAAGGCCAACACAGGAAACTTATGTGGGTTTTTAACATGAAGCAGAACACGTATCCTATTGGACTCAGATATTGAGACTGAAAGGGAAGCAGGAGGTGGTTGTTCAGTAAAAAGTTGTGCAAGCTCACAATTGGAGGAAAATCAGTAAAGGTAAAAGGAAAATGTAAGGGTTAAAGCTATATTTCTCATAAACTGATCAAGAAAAGAAGTAACATTGGCAACTGCTTCCCACTCTCATCTTACACTAGCAGCGTGCTTGGTTCACTGATCAAGCCAAAGATTGCTTCCCCAATACCCATCACTAAAAAGAGTCCAGATTTTGCTAATTGTGAGTTTTCTGTTTCAAATATTGCCATCTTGTGGAAGCTGCCTGGAAGGACTGATGAGGTACCAGCAGCTGTGAGCACCACTCATTCTCAGAACCTGGGGAACCCCAGCCACACAGTGCTAAGCCTGAGCTGCACAGACCCTACTGCATCCCTCTGTAAAAACATTTGTAGCTCTCACCAATAGAGTTCAGAACCTCTGAATCCTACCTGAGAAGACCAGAACAGGCCCCTGACATTGTGGATACCAAGTTGTGTATGCCTTATCCCCAGCTCTGAGATGCTCAAATCCTGAATCCTGATCTCAGGTGGTTAAACAATACTCCAACCAAATTATCTCAAGCTACATTATTCCTGCTAAGGAGGCCACCAACACTGCCTTACAATGCAACCAAGGTGTAGGAACTCAAGGTCAGAACTAAGTAAGCCCTGAGTTAATCTTTTGGCAGAACAGAAAAGCAGATCCTCAGCTGGTACAAATGGACAGAAACCTGGACTTGAGCTATGTGGATTTGCACCAGCTGAAGATTTTGCCCATATCTGCTCTTCTGCACAGTCTGGAAGTAAATTTTTTTTTTTTTTATAAAAATTCTAAATGAGAGGAAAATTATCTCACTTGTGGAATCAATGAACAGCTAAATAAGCATATGACAAAACAATGGCATGGCATGGAGACAACTCTAAGTAATGGAACAGTAATCAGCAAAGATGATTACCTGTGGCTTACTGACTCTGCGTGTAAGTCTGGGAGGTGGCTGTGTTGTGACAGTAGAGGAAGAGAGGGTAGAGGAAGTAAGAGAAGCAGATGAAGAGAATACTTTTGAGTCTGTAGTCTTTTGAAGAAAAGAAAATTTGGTCAGCTTGGCACACAGTCTCCTATCACAATCACTGCTAGTGATAAGAGCATCTACTATCCAGTAAATTTGAAGCACACACAGCAACAGTAACTCCATGCAAGGGCAAGTGCAGCTTCTAGTTGGTTTGTCTGAGCTGACCACCTCATTCTCTTTTAAACATGCAGGTTATGTCTGTAAAAAATGCTACTAAACCACATCTAGATGGTAAACAGTGCAGTCTTTACACAGTTCTCAGTATACTTCTGGTTATAATTCAAGCAGAAATCAAATTATTTGTCATAAGATTTCCCAGTGTGAAACATGTCATCTTGGAAACCCTAGTTTCTCATTATTTAATGTTGTCTAGATTGGGTATGTCCATCTAGATGGAGGCTTCCGCAGTCCATCCAAGACAGTATTTATAATTGTATGATTTTGACCTCTCCGAAGTTCCACTCATGGGGGTACTGTAATATATTTGGGCTGGCTGTAGCCCACAGTGGACACCCCAAGTCAACTGAGAGCTGCAAGGAGAGGCGTATCTCCTATACCAAGACTGAGGGCAGAAGACAGGTTGTAGAAGCTATGGAGAGTTTCACATGTATCCTTTTATTGTAACATACGGCTATATAATTGAAAACTCTTGGGCAGAAGTATCACTAGGTCTTATTCCCATTAGTGGCTACAGCCTTTCACATTGTTTTAGGAATGCAAAGGTAATAAATGCCACTCAACGCAGAGATAACAATAAAGACTCCCTTAGTCAGGCACATCCCAGACTAAGGTTCACTAAATCATAGGCTGCAGGACCAACAGGGCACAGCTTTTGTGATTCTAGGAGCCAGGTCGATGTTTACAAGGCTTTTCAGCCCTTGGATTTAGAAGGAACAAACAAATTCTATAACCATAGATGATCCACACTGGAAAATCTCTGAATAGCAAGGAATTGTCTGTATTCTACACAGGTATGCAGGCATGAGGCCTGAGTGATACTTTGATCTGACACATTTGGTAATAGCCACTATCTGGGACAATCACCTCATTAGACGTGACTGATTGTGTCAGTTCTGCGTTATTACCCATTCTAAAATAATTTTCACTACACTGCTCTGGAGCCCTCTTCTAAAACATTTTGATCTGCTATCAAGTGAATGCCACTGGTGACCCCTGGAAGACAGCCTTAGGATCATCAAAATGACATGTGGCAGCCACTGGCTCTGCCTGGCCAGCAGAGCAGCACAAACCTCAATACGCCAGTTAAATAAAATCAGCAATTCAGAGGAGCACACACACATGCAGGAGAAGTACCTTCTTTTCCCCGCTTTGAAACTTTCCCAGATCACCTTTCCTCACGTCTTTTTTCTCTGTTTTACCTCCCTGAACAATAGCCATTAGCTCCTGACACAACTGGTTGTCCTCAGAGGAACCCACAGGTCTCTTTTCTGGGCTCGCACGCATGTCTAGTTGGGATGGTTTCAGGCAGCGCTCAACAGAGATCTTGGGAACAGCGTGAGCGCTCTGCTCAGGGTTGCTGTTGCCCTCTCTAGTCTTTTGGAACCAGGCTTGGCTGCCAGTGGTGTCCCGCTGCTCTGCCAGGATGCTTTCGGGGCTCTCCACTGCCCAGCGAGAGGAGTTAGAGTAGGTCACGCTGGGAGGAGGGGAGTCAACAAACTTTTCTTCGCTTTGTGGAGTGGCCTGATAGAAACTGTGGGCAGAAGACTGAGGTCTAGATGAGTAAGAGGGCAATGGGGACTTAATGGACCTGGGAGTCGAGGAGCCAGAGAGATGAGAATGGTGGAGGCTGAGTGTGGGGGAAGGGCTGGCTGCAGCAGAAGGCGAGAGATAGTCAGTGTGAGAGAGGGAGGCTTCAGGCGGAGGAGGCAATGGAGGAGTTATGGCAGGAGTGGTGCTGGGAGACACTCCTACAGTCAGAGCAATCCACTCAGAGGTGACCGCCTGCACCTCTGGAGATAGGGCGCGGCGCGCGAAAGGCAAAGGCGGAGGAGTTGGTGTATGGAGCAGCTCAGAGCTGGGAGACTTGAAAGAGACAAAAGCAGGAGAGAAAAAGAAAGAAATGAACAAAAAAATAATAAAGGAAATACAAAACTGAGCACAAGTAAAAGGAGAGAGAGCGAGTGTAGAGAGAAGCAGATCTGTGACCGCGTGCATAAGTTTTCTATAGTGCATCCTGCTGGAGAACATGCTGTCCCACAGCTACCCCAACCACAGGGTCCAGTCTGTATCTGTGCTGCTAATACCCTTCTCCAGACTTTGCCAGGATCTCAGACATAAAACATCTTGTGGAAGACCTCTGACTTCATACCATATGTCTTAAGTTCCTCAGGGAACAGTTGAAGCCACCATCCACAATGGCAGAATGCAGCATTTGACTGGCCTGGCAGCAATAGCTGGGGGCTCATAACTTACACTGCAGACCCAGCCAGAATTCACTGCTGCAGCAAATTTTGACTTCATCCAACTCTAGTATGAGCAATGCCTTCTCCTCAAGAAACTTATATTGAGGAAGTTGTTGCAGGAGAAAGGGATCACAAAAGCCACCTGTGGCTATTTGCTCTTTAGGTGATTAAAATAAATCCTATGTTTATAAGGGCAGAACATATACAAGTCTTGCCCTTAGCTCTCACCCTGAGTGACATCAGTGAGAACAGCTACAATAGCACTGCTCAGAGTAGTTCTCAGTCCTCTGCTAAGTCAGGCAAAAAAGCAGGGAGAGAATTGATTTACTAGGGGAGGAATCAAAAGAATAGCAAAGAAAACCAAAATTAGGTGGATATGATCCCTTCCGTCAGAAGCTTGCAGAGAGCTTGTGGCAGATAGGCCACAGCTATGGAGAGGCTGCCAAGCTCAAACAGAAAAGCTCAGCCAAGGTCCACTTTGACAGGCAATCCCAAACAAGCAACAAGTTTTTCCTCCTTACATAGTGGCTAAGACTAAAGCCACTCCTTTTCAGGAATATCCAGACAGACAACAGGCACGAGTCATGGCATTTTTTTTCCCATTCATCTTGTACTGTATTATCCCTTCCTCCCAATCCCAGTTCTTCACCTATGTTCCTTCCAGCCTTAACCTCAGAATGACCTTGCTTTGGTCCCACAGGTGAGAGAGGGATGCACCAGAACCTCATGGCCATGACCCAGGTAGGTATACTGACCTTCTAACTTAAGTATTTGCAGGATGGGAGCAAAAAAAAACGGGATTAGAGACTCAGTGCCTCTCTGATAAATTTTCCACAGCAAACATTCTGGGATCCCCATATCTGTTGCCATGTTGATTTCTGCTTTGATTATGATTCATACTGAATCTAATATTCATGGTAAATGCCAGACTGACCTGCTCTCAAAACTCGAGTTCATTTACCACCCATTTTAAATAATACAGGCTTCTCTCCTGAGCCTGTCTCCCTAAATCTTGGTCATGAACTGGAACAGATAGGGGCAAGTATACAGCTTAATTCAAGCTGACTGGGATCAACATAATGACTATAGCAGTCTGTGACACCCTTTTAATAGCCATAATATGAAATTCACTCGTCAAAATGAAGGTCTGTAAAGTGTAAACATACACTCAGGAGAAGATGGATCACCAATTCATTCCATCTCTGGCAGTGAAATTTAATCCCATGGCTGTGAACTGCAGCCCTTGCAACCTGGCCTGGATTGAAGCTACAGATCAGAGGTAAAAAGCTGGGTCTCCAAATCCCCAAATGATCCACTCATTAACCTTTCTGGTAATGAAACATGACCTTTTCCTGCAGTTGCAGCATACTGCAGGGAGCACCTGGCTTTTATGGCACAAAATACTAGTCTTAGCTACAGCTTTTTTTCAGCTATTTCTTCTTACACAGCAATGGCAACATCCCTCTGTTCTGCAAAGTGCTGAAACTGGCTGCACTTAGTCCAAATACCTGTGGTGAAGCCGTGATGCTGCGGCTGGGGGAGAGGGACACTGGTGGGTCAGGATAGTCAATGGCATTCTTGACCACTGGCCTTTTGAGCACTTCCACGTAAGTGACAGGGAAGATGCCTTGGCGACTGGTGCCAGAGATTCTTCCTTCATACCAGTTCTCATCCACTCGTCGAATCAATGTGATCCTTTCACCCTACAAGAAGGAACAGCAATGTAGTTCTGATTTTAACAAATGTCAACATTCCAAAGCAGATGACATTTTTAATCTTGCTGCAGCTGACCTAATAATAATCAGCTTCCCCTATTTCCAGTTATGTGATCCTAACCCTAAACTCTGGGTGGGAACAATATTTTTCAGCTGAGAGAAGGTAAAAAAGCAGATTTTCTGATGTTGACTTGGGCTGTCTGCAGACTAAGTTATGCTCACATTTTCAAGACCCTACTTGCTAAAGCCAGTTAAAAAATGGAAACCAGCAGTTTTAGGCTGACCACAAGCCTCTCAGAGGTATGAGGTGTACAGAAAGTATGCACAGGTCTGCAGTTTAACCTAGGTCTCTCTGTGCTCTCTTGTGTTTTGCTGACAAATGAAGTGACTTTCAGATCCTTAATATAAACTGCAAGTCCCAGCTTCATGTGTAATTAAAAGAGCAGACAGACAAGATCAAATCTGAGCATCAAAACAGAGGGTTGGTTGAGATGGAGAAATACTACTGCTACTTAATCTAAATAAGGCTTTGTTCTGAACAGCAATTACACAATCCCTTCCCACCTCTTCACTCTGCAGTCAGGTCTAGTCAGTCACTCCAATACCACAGAACTTCGCTTGCTCAATGATTTGGTTTGTAGTACGAAGGAAGGTGAACCCAGTTTCCTTCTTTTCTAAATCACCATTATTGTGGACTGTGTGCATCTCCACTGAATACTATCAGACTGGAGAGGCACGTCACCAAGTATCTAACTTGCCTTGCAGAGACAGGCTTTCAGCCTTTGCGCTCAAAGAACCTTCTCAGTTAGCCCAAAGGAAATAATTAGCACTTCTTGATTCAGCCTACTTGCAACAGTAACTACAATGCACTAAATAATGACTGTAGAGTAAAAACACAAATAATCCTTCCTGAATAGAGAGTTCATCTTATTGGAGCTTTCATTTGGACACTGCAAGTTACCAATGCTAAAAACATCACCATGTCTGAATTCAATTCATCAGGACAACAAAAGCCCTACCTTTCTGAAGGACATTTCCACTTGGGTATCCCCATTGAAGTTGAATTTAGCAATAGCATCTCCATATTCCAATACTTGCAATGGTAATGGCTTTTTGGGCTGAGCTTTCTCAGCTGGTGGAAGGAGCTAGAATGAACAAACAATCAGGTAAGTCTCATACAAAAAGCCCGTAAACTGGTCACTGGCAGAAAGGGAGTGGACAAAGAGAACACCTGCAAGGAAAGCAGCTACCTCTATGTATGATCGTGGGAAGATGCCAACTCTGCCATGGTGTTCACCTTCGAACCAGTTCTGGTCAATCTGCTTGTAAATGTAAACAATATCTCCTTTTTGCAGAGGAAGTTCCCTGTTAACAACACAAGCACTCCATCAGAACTTCATTGGAGGACAGATGTGTTCTTTTTCTGTCCAGCAATCCCTAGGTACCAAGGTCTGCATCAATATGTTGATACACAGTGTGCTCCACCCCAAGTGAAAGCTAAATGTTGAGAATTACTCTGTTTACATCGTGATGTGCAGGGACTCTCTTGCTCTTTGAGCATCCTGTCAAAAAAAGCTGGCTTATGAGGGCCCTACTAATCACACACTACAGCAGCAATGAGGTCAAGCTTCAGCCAAAGATGACACTGGTTGCTTTCCATGTTGGATACAATGAACAGCCCTCAATTACTGTTTTGAAACAGTCATGTCACAAGTGTCTTCCAAAGCGACACATGATTTTAATGTGAGTTAGTTCGTTGATTAGATTAACCTCCTCACATGCCAGTGTTGATCCTGCAATGATTACATTTCTGGCCAGCCTGTGGTTGTGCAACCACTGACCTCAACTGGGCTAACAACTGGAATTTTAATCTACAGTCTAAGTTTAGGAATGGTCTGCAGCTTGAAGAACATCTACTATGGGCAGCTTGTACTAGACTCATAAACCTACTATTTGGATCCTCAGAAGAAAACAGACAACACAGCCTTTCCTAAGACGTTTTTCACAAGCTCTCCTTTTGTCTGGCACCCTGGTATGTTCTGCTCAAGGGATACAACAGTTATACCTTACATCTGCCTCAGTTTTATTAGAGGTGCTGGAATATGCTACATAAATCATTACAAATCATCACCTGTAGAACATATAACAAAAATATTCCCAGGACATTAGCACCTGAGAAGAAAAACAACAGGTCCTTTACTGAATTCTGTTCTTCTTTCTTCCCTCCTAGCAATATTAAAATGAGAGCTTCTCCAGCCTCATGCAGAGGGAAAGGCCTTCCAGGCTTTCTCTTCAAAGCAGTGTTTCCCAAAAAGAACAAGTAGTGCTGTGTGATTCACCAAAAGGACCATAACAGGGCTTGGAGGTACAAAAATGACACCACAAACACCTGCTATGTACACACAGATGCCAGGAGAGCAGTGACCACTCTGCAAACTTATAGGTCCTAAATCAGGGAAATCCTGAGTCAAGGGCCCACCTACACACTTAAAGCTAGGCATCTTTTTAAGTCCCTTCTGCATTTGGGCTATGCTTGGCACAGTGAAGTGAATGCTGCTGTCCTGTGGCTCCACCCACCTCAGAGGGGCACTCACCTGTTCCTGTAAAGAATGTGGGTTGCCCTAAAAATCGTGTGGGACAGAGATGCACTGAGAAATAAGACATTTTCCTTAAGGTCCTTCAGAGGCTATGATCTGCAAGACTCATTTTACTTTTCCCTGCCTTAATAAGGACACCTTTGCTTTGAGCTGCTGGGAAGACACTCTCAAAACATGAATCCAATTGTATGACACTTCATAAATGCTGCATCCTAGAGGAAAAAACAGAGGAGTAACACTCAAGGTAGTCATAACAAGCTGTACTCACTTTAGCGTCTGTGCTTTAAAGTCAAACTTGGCTCTAGCAGGTCTCATCTAGAGATTAAAAAAAAAAAAAATCAACACATTAAAATAAGAACTAGGTTTTTAACCCTCTTCTGAGGAAAAGCACCCAAACTCTTCTATAGCTAACATCAGCATGGGGAAAAACTTGGATGCAGGTATTCTGCTACAAGCTTGCGTGCAACTGGTATTACAGTCCAAGTATGCTGGATGGGCATTTCCCACCAGGACACAAAGTGCCAACTTCTGGTATAGCAGTAATTAAGAGCTCTACAGGAAATGGATTTAGCAGCAGTAAATGTTTAAATGTGATTAATCCTGAAAAATGAAAGCTGCTCCAGTAACTAAAGTTACTGGGGCTCCAGGACCAAATTTATTTTGAGATTTGAATTGAAAAGAAAAATTTACTAGCTGGGAAAAAACAGTAGGATATTATTTGATGTGGCTCTTATTATTACCTGACCCTGTTGAATACTGCAATATGACCCATATACTCCATATCAATTCGTAGAAAAGAGACAAAGGTGAGGAGAAAATATAAATAAATTAAGCATGTGTCTAAAAAAGTCTTCGGTGGCTACAAAGACAAAAATGACGTTGACAGCAGGCGTAGACTTTAAAGCTTGATTTACTCGGCTGATTTTCTAATGGCCACAAAATATTCAGACAATTTTAAAGTAATTTTGATAATAGAATATAAAATAAATAGTAGTCACATTCATGAGGCTCCAGAGCATTTGAAACCAGATAAAGGGCAGACAGGTGTACTCCAGCCATACGGTGACCACCCCACCCACCACCGCAATGCAGCACCTCTGGGGAAACAGCTGATGCCAAGAGTCCAGCAGCAGTCCATGTGAGGCAGAAAAAGCATTTGGCCATGACACTTGGACTAGGATCCAGTCTTTGGAAAAAGTGCCTTGGGGCTCTTGGAAAAGCCATCTACCTCTTCCTTTGTCTCTTTCAGAAAGTCCAAGCAGGTCATACACAGTGAAATATGCTGAGACTTTTTCCGATTGTTTCTAGAGCATATTAAGCATATTTCAAGAGAAAAAACTACGTATTTCTAAAAAAACCCACCCTATGTGACACGGCCAGGATCAACAAGACATGAAGTTTCTAAGCATAAGGCACAGACAAGAAGACAATGTAGCAATATGATGCAAAAGATGTAGAATGCCTTTGATTCACTAAGTAGCTGATATTTAAAGGCATGCATCACAGGTGTGCACCAGCAATTCTCAGCAGGCATGCTTTAATATATGCAGCTTGGTATAGAGCTATCAATTAATTTACCAGGCACAAGAGTCAAAGCAGATCTAAATGAAGCCAGAATGGGAAAGGGGAAGGTGGAAAAAAAACAACAAACGACATTCTCTGAAGAGCTAATGTCGGCCTAAAGCACAACATTGTGAGAGGCAATTATTGCTTTGGGTCAAGCAGCAGACTGAGGTAACTAAAACAGACCTCTGACCCAGATTTCCTCTTTGCTGTATCGTCTACATTTAGGAGGTCCCCAAATCGCTCATTAGTGATAAACTGATGGTGCGTTGGAATAACCCCTGTGTGCCTTCTAGCTGCAATATCAGCTTCTTCTTGCTCACGTTTAAGCCGTCTCTGGTCCTCTAAAAGTTTCTGCCATAAAATTGCATAAAATGGGCAATAAATCATCTAGTTAAAGGCATTCAAAAGCTGCCATAAATGTGACTAAAATTCCTGAGGTCCCTGCAAATATCTGGCGTTTTACAGTTCCATATCAAATATTGATTCTACTTACTACACAATACCCTTTCATTTTGCAAACACAGAAGGTACATCATCATTATGGCATAACTGAAATCCATCTCATACAGAGGCAATATACAATCCAAAGTTGAAGAAAGTCAGTGAGTTTTTCTAAGTTTTGGGCAGCTCCCAGGAGCTTCTAAGAAGATTGCTGATAACACAGAGAGCTGATCCAAACCCCCTTCAACCAACAAACAAGGAGTTTCTCTCATTGACTTTCAAGAGACGTGGATCAGCCCCAGTGGTATATTCTGAGGTGCTGAACTCCCCTGAGCCTTGCAAGTGGCCTGGGAGAGTGTGTAACCACATTCAGGTTCTCCCATGCTTCCTTTCAGCCTGTGTAACACACTTTGTAAAATAAAGTAAATAAACCCCAAAGAATTATTTTGGACTTCTTCAGTCTCCAGCACACTAATGGAAAGGTGCATTCTTGAGCACCTGGGTAGAGGGATTGTCCCACCTTTTGGGGCTGACTGTAAGCTAAAGAGTTCAGCCCTGTGCTAACTCATTTAAAGCCAGCAGGCCTTACTGAATTCAGAGTTCTGATCTTATACGAGTTCTCATGCTGGATTTTGGAAGTGGGGGGATCAGTAACTATTTCACAGGGGAAGACAGCAAAAATAAATTTTTCACACAGGAATTAAGAGCAGGTTTTACCGTATTTCAAAGCACAGATAAACATTATTTGAACTCAGAAAGTTAACACTAAAAATAAACTTTTTTTTTTTCCCCTCCCCCAGGCAGGGGAAATTAATTCCAGCTTCCTGGAAAGCAATCACTTTATAACTTTTTTAACACAGCTTGAATACAGTTGGTGCTGAAATGTCTCTGTGGCTTTTCCATTATTTTGTCTTGTCCCAGTGTTGCTCAGCCAGTCAAAAAAGGACTGGTACAGTCTGTTGTAAACAACTTCAGACACCATAAAGAATTCCAGTTTGCACTGAAGGAAAACTTTCCACTTTCTGATAGCTTAAAATATCTTACATTTGCTGTTCAAAACCTGAGGACCTCCACAGGAAAAATACTGTTTTTCACCAGTTTGATTAACACCGACTCAAGTGACTTGCATGAAAACAGTAACAGGCTAACCATCTTTATCTGAGAGTTCTGGGGCGTTGGACCACATCTCACATACATCTCCAACCTTTTTTATATTATTTAAGGTCCCTATATATAATTTTGTGCAATTGATAAGAACTATCAGGTTAAACTGAAACAAAAGCTAAACTGAACTATACACATTATACATCAAATCAGTGACAGATACAGTATTGAAATGAAAACATACTAGTTTGTTTGTTGCTCTACTTTCCAGTACACAGCCATGGACGTACAAGCCGTCCTTATATAAGGCTGAATGCTATATTTCTTCTATGTGGGGCTCCTACAACTGTTATTAGACCATAAAGGAGAGCATTACCTCTTTGTCATCATGCCGCCTGCGGATAATTTCTTCTGGAGTTTCCATGTAATCAACTGGTGCAAAATGCCTTGGTGATTCTGAATCTACTTCAAAACAACATAAGGAAGTTAAAATACAGATGGATTTATCTAGCATAACCAGAAAGGAAAAAAATAAATATTTTTAAACAATTTGTTTCCACTATAACAGTAAGGATTCTCAATTGCCATTGACCAAATTGCCAATCAGATGTTGATAATTTATCCATTTTCATTTTTTTCCCTTTTGGGCTGTACATGTGAACAAAGATCCAAAAATAGGGAGAAAATAACGTACAGGAAAGTGTAAAGACATAGAAGGACTTTGTAAAGAAAAGATTCACTGCCATCGAAGAATGATTTGGCATTTTACTGTTGAGAAAAGTTTAATACACACACACGCAAACACAACTAGACCTTGAGAAACTACTCCTTTAAAGCAAATCATCTGGGTTTGCTTTATAATTCCCAAGTGTGTAAATGATACAGGACAAGAAACATCTCATGTTGAGATTCTTGCATCCCCAGAGCTGCTTGAGGGATAAACTGAACCTGATGTGATTAGAAAGGCAGCGGAAATCGTTTCTCAGAAGTGCAGCTGTTAACAAGTCCTGAACAAAAATGCTGAGCAAGACACGCAAAGGACGTTAGACACACTAGGGGGAAAAAAAAAAAAAAAAAAGGATCCAGGGGATGCAAAGGTGAGGAATAAAAATGCAAGGGTTGTGGAAGAAAAGGGGAGGAGAAAGGAAGCAAGAAGACAGATGAAGAGAAACTGATAAAGAACACAAAAACCACCTCCTAGGTACGTCCCAAGTTCACTTTGCGGGTTGTTGTTTGTGTCCAGGCTGTGACAGAGAGCATATGGAACAGGGTTCCCATTGTTTAAGGAGTCAGGAGTGTCAGCCCGGCCCATGAAGCTATCTCGGCTAGGTCCCATGGTGGGGAAGTAGCCAAGCCTTTCCACAATGTCAAAGGAAGACAGGCGCCTGGGGGCAAGAGGCCTGCTTCTGGAGAACAGTTGGTGCTGGGAGTGGTGACTCTTGTTTCCTACATTCCCCTGCAGCTGTATGGGGTCATCTGGGTTCTCAGGGCTGGGCACTGCCAGGCTTGTCAGGCAGTCTGGGGGTGGAGTTCTGCAGGATTTGTGTTGGAAGGGCTTTTTCAATCGAAATGGGAGCGGGCTCATTAGGTAGACATTTCTGGGGAGCATGTGCCTGTCCCCATAGACATCCCCTTTGGAATCAGGGTTCCTGGAGGCTTGCTGCTGTTCGTGCCTTCGGATGGTAGTGAACCTGGTGTAGGAAGCTGGGCATGGGCCTTTGCATCTGTTGATTTTATGCTTCTGAGGCCCATTGAGGTTGCTGCTGCTGCTGCCACTGTCATTGGAGGCATTTGAGAGAAGATCTATCTCATCTGTGCAAGCTGAAAGTGTGTCCATAGGAATGGCATCACTGACATCTGAAGCCGTGTCCTCCACATTGCTGCAGGAGACAGAGGATTTGTTGGCCAAGCAGGCAGCATCCTTCTCTTCTAGGTGTGCTTTTGACAAATCCAGAAGAATCTCTGCAGAGTATGCAGCACTCAGACAAATTTTAGACTGAAGAGAAGTGGTGGATTTGTTTTGTCCAGCAGAAAAGTCAAGTGAGGGCATTGATCGGGATCTCTGGATCAGCTGCTCAAAGGCACTGATACGGGAGGAAACAGTGTCTTTGGGGATCTGCTCTGAATCCTCTCGACTAAGGCTGTGCTCCATCTTGTCCTTTGCTTCATTCTCAAACTGAGATGCAATATCCTTCACGCTGCAGGAGGAGACTGTGTCCAAATGGATCCTGGACCGGTTGATCTGGTGCATGTCTTTATAGAGTGTTGTAAACTCCATCCCACTTTTCCTGGAGGCAGGGAACAGGTAGCCTTTCCTAGAGTTGGTGCCATACTCCTGCAGGCTCATGGTACTGCCGGATTTGATGGCATACTCTTGCTTTGACTTCATAAAGATGTTTTCTATGCTTTCCCCTATATCTACCATGAAAGCCTTTTTATTATCAAACAAGGCAATGGAGCTACGAAGGTTTTCGCAGCTTTGAGCTTTCTCGTGAGACAGCAAGATACCCGTCTTGTCCTGCAAAAGAGCAGCTGGAGCTGCTAGTTTGGGTTTGAATTTAGAAGGGAGGATTTCAGTAATGCAGGCTTTTGCAGCTGATAAGGGCTTCTTATGTTTACATGCGTGACCTAACATACCGGTATGACTAGCGTTAAAGGTTCGGCTATTAACTGAAGAGGGTGCAGTCATATGAGCATTCCCACCTTTACGATCCACTGGTAAGCATGCAGAATAAAATAAATACAACCCGTTAGCTGAAGTGCTAGAAAGCTATTGAGAAAGGAGAAAGAACATGCTTGGATGTCATAAAATGCACTTTAAAGAAACAAATTTCCAAAACAAAGAAAAGCAGGAAGAAACTGCAAAACAAGCCACGCTTACAGGAGTGGGTGAAGTGCTGCTAATGTCTCTAAAATGAGGGGTTTTGCCAGAAGCAGATCTGGAGCACTTTGAAGGTACCCTCCTAAAAAGTGCTAAGCATCATCAGCTTCCAGGGAAGCTGTAGCACCAAGGAAAAGGGAACTGAACTCTGGGCAGGATCAGGGTGTCAGCAAGAATGCAGAGGCACTAACATTGCAAAAATGGCTTAATACCAAGCCTGTAATCACACCTACTATGGTCTCACCACAGTGCTTGCCAAACAGCTTATTCCTGGGAAGGAGAAAACAATCAGTGGTTGACTGTGCCAACACAAGCACACCACATTGGCTGACCTTGCCCAAGAGACGCCTGCTTAGAGATTCCCCATACTAGGAATAAGCTGAGTGTCCTTCAGAAAATGCGGCTGACCATGTTTGCTTTAAAATTCAAGGAGTCAAATCAGGACATCATTTTTTTTAAATAAGGATCCAGCCCGGTTTCAGCTTACAGTGCAGTTTTTAGGTCTGTTTCCAATTTGAGTTCGAATTCAAATGTCAAAATAATGATTCAGGTTCAGTTGCAGTTTGGGGAAAAATAAATGAACAGATTTTTTTGTTCAGATCCAGTTTGACTCCTTGCCCTACAGGCCCAACAAAATGCTGAAAAACAGCTGGAAAATAGAGACAGAGAGACCTTTTTGTTGTGATGTACTATTTTTAGGGAGAGCTGTTCAGAAACCCAACACATTCCTTTTCCAGTCCTCTCCCCATCTCAAACCATTTTTAGGTTGAAGTTGGCTCAGAGATACATTCCCCAGTACAACTCCCTGATAGGAGTCAGGCTCTTCCTTGTCCTACTCTTCTAGAGAGTCTGTGATGGGGGGAGGAAAGGGGAGGAGATCGATCTCTTCTGGCTCACAGTACCAGAGCCTGCAGGGCTGGTTCAGACAGCAATTGCTGTTTCAGTGACCCATGCATTCTCTGTACATCCCTGGCAGGCAGGAGGCTGTGGAGCACGTGGCACCAGCTACACCAGGGTAGCCAGGCCAGCAGACTGCTGTGGCCTGCTGAGGTAATGCAGTGGGAAGAACAGAAAAGGCAGGGAAGGGCTCTAGCACGGCAAGGCAGTGGGAGCAAATGGATAACAAGGCCAGCCTAAGCTGCCTCAAGGGAGAACATGAGAGTTTGGGGTGTGCCTGAGGTGCTGGATGGAGGGAACTGGTCTCTCTTGGGAAGAGGAACCTGGATCAGTTAAAGGCATCATGAAAAATATAGGCCAGTGTGGTCTGAGAGAAAAAAAGGAGGGAACACGGAGTATGGCAAGGAGGAAGGACAGCATAAATCTCAACTGGCTTGAATAGGACTCTAAACCTTGCAGCAGTTTGCCCCATATCACCTGACTTTTGACACCGTGCAGAATGGAGAAGACGTTAGTGCCCTGACCACCTACCTTTTGTGGAAGCAGAGCTCGAAGGTCGCTTGAGACCACTCAGTCCCTGGAACGGGATATCTCCACCTTCCAGTACACTCTTGTAAATTTGCCTTTCATTCTCCAAGGCAGCAGGGTCTCCCAGAGCTTGCTCCGACTCCCTCTTCACTGCATTGTAGTTGGGTGAATAGGCGGAGCTGGAATACACAAAAAAAGGGGAGGGACACCAAGGGAAGGGACACAGTTTGCTGAGAGCTTCATGTAAAGTAAGGGAAAACCACACTTTTGAACCCAGTATATGAAGAACTGGTGCTGAATGAAGAGGTTATGAATATATTGTGATAATGTTCTAGGTTTGGCACTACAAAGCATTCTCCACCTGAGATGAGGTGGAGCACTCCAGGCTCCACCTGGAAACCGGTGGCAGGAAAGCACTTCTCTATTTTACAGATGAGGCAACAGTCAGGGCAGCTGCATAATTTCCTTGCAGACATTCACTAGTTATCTGGAAGTAGCATAAATACCTTCCAGCTCTTAGTTCTCTTTCCTTAAACACTAGCCATGTCTGTCTCTTGCTTATAAAGTACAGCTGCTCAAGAGTTCACCTCAACCAGTTCAGCTTCCCAGTCAACCCTACAGTTCAAGACTCCCAGAGCAATTTCTGAAGGCCATTAGTGAGGAACCATGCAGAGAAGCAATAGTACAAGGCTATAGACACTACTCTTTTAATTGACAAAGAAATTCCCAGATGCACAGAGTTCTGCTCAGCTTTGTCTCAGGTCTAATGTCTCAGGGAATAAAAATCCCTGGACTCTAGGTCTACTATGCAGATATATAAACAGAATGCTGTTAAAATTAGTACAGTTTTAATTTAAGAGGTTTTTAAAGACTGGAAATTTATTGCAAATTCCTTTTCTAGTCCTGCACCGACATAAGTATGCTCACACATCTGATTTCTAGATTTCACTGTTTCCTCTCTAAAAGATTAGCCAACAATGCCATGGTATAAATGACGTTTCAGGTGTAAAAACTTACTAAGCAATCAGGGAGACTATGCTTTCCTAAAAGCTAAGCTCATCTGATACCCTTTCTTGTGTTCAGCTAGGCTCTTCAGAATAAGATTGAGTCTCACAAAAAGCTATTCTGGGGCCAAAGCATGACTACTGGAAAGTTTGAAAAAATAAAGATATACAGATTTGCCAATTAATAGAAATATTTGACATCCTGATGTCCAAGAGTGATTCAAATTTATGTGAATGTGGAAATGCTTGTGGTTATGCCTGCTTGTTGTGGATAAATTTGTACATGCACATGTTTATTCTGGACAAACATTGTACTTCTGGGGTAAAGAGAAAGCTTTCAAACACATCAGAGGACTGGCTATGGAGGTGAAATTACACAATGTCTGGATCACAGAAATGATTTTAGTTTCCAGACAAGGAAAACCAGGTCATATACAGTCCTGTAAATTACTTTCTGGAGTAAAAGCTCATGAAAAGCACCACAAAAGGGGAAGGGAATACTGTCACTTTTTCAACCTAAACAATGCTCAAACAGGCCCACTGCTACAAAGCTGTTGTTTCCTGTAAGAGTTATCCCAGTGCTTCTCTTTGTCAGGTACCTGAGGAAGTCCTGCCAGATGCCACAGGGAATAATGACTGCCCTGAGGTAAGTTGTTAGTCTAGTTGTTGAAAAACAAAGAGTTAAAACAATCCTCCTTCAGCATACACCTGGGGGAGAGAGAGGAGGTATTTCACAGAATCCCTTTACCAGCTGCTCCCTTATTAATAAGGCCAGCAAGCAGTACTGTATTAGGGCCAAAGCAGTCTGTAAGATCAGGACTGGGTGAATGGAGGGAAGTGCAACACTGCAGAAATAAGACAAAAAACTCCAGTGATCTTTTCTCCCTGCTCTCTAAAAGCAGGACAGGAAAGAGTGTGCAACTCCACTGGGCCTCGCTATTGTGTCCCATTGCCAGCATATCCAGGTTGCTTCCTCCCCACTGGTTCAGACACTGGCATTCTGAATGTTTTGGGTGGCACAGACAGTGCTGCCATGGGCAGAAACCTTACCAGTCATGGGCAAAAATAAGCTATTTATGCTAATCTCTGAGATGTCTATTTATTTTATTGCTCTCTTCCTACCAAAACAAAACTAAAGAGTCATTGGAGCAATCAACACGATGCAGCAGTGTGTGAGTTTCCCAGCAGAATGAACACAGACAGAAGGGAACTGAGCTGAAAGAAGTACAGGAGACCTCTAAGACCCCCAGGGGGACCATGAACACACATGGTATTAATGGGTATCTGGAGGAGAATTTGCCTTTTTTAACAAACCATCCTTGTAGAGGGGATCACTGTGCCTATGGACAATATTAAGTATTCAGTCCAATTACAAGGAGCAGCAGGCTCACAGTAGGAGTTGGCTCCATGGCTCAGCATCTTCCTCTGTTTTTTTTTTTGTCACGTGTTCCTCTTTTAAGAAAAAACAACTCATTTAGACAGAACATACTGCTTATTATATATTCCTCTGAAAAGTCAGTGCCACGTTAGATCTTTGAGAAATATTGTTACTGCTACCACTGTTCCCTTTCTGTAGACTGGGAAATTACTGCCTTCCATCAACAGCATCCTTTTGATCTGGTGCACAAAACAGTGAATATCTAGCAGGTACCAATCTATCATGCACGTGTAACAAACAATTTTTGTTTATTCTACACAATAATGTTACTTGCATGAAGATACAATCAATTTGAAAACTTCACCAAGATGAAGTTAAAGGTCTGTTGGGCTTTTTTTAAAGCCACTGCCTGGTACAATCAGCAAATCTTGTCTAGACAATCCAATCTCTCATGCAATCACTTCAAAATTCATTCAAGATCAAAGGGCAGATATTGTACCTGGACTCGTCTAAAGCATTCATTCAATTCTTATGGTACAACACATTTGCCTATATCCATCCCCCAAAAAATAAAGCCAACCCATTTCCTGTACACAAAATCCTGTCCTACATGACCTCAGACTGCAAAAGAGACATCAAAAAGCAATCGAAAAACTTACTAGGAAGAATGGTCTGTGGAAGTTTCCAGAGGAGTAACACCTGCCGTATTCTGCAAAAGTCCAAACAAAGGAGTCATTGATATGCACTTACATGTGAGAAGAAGAAAAAGGCTTGTTTAAGTAACTTTCCATCTATTGCTTGAATATTAGCCTATAGGAGACACTGGACTTTAGGTCTAAAATGCAGTTTAAGCTGTCAGTGTCTTTGCAGAAAAGCAACAATTTCTGCGTTCCTTCAGGGCAGTGACAGGTTTTTAGCACAGCCGATGCCTTTTTGCAGTGCCTATTCTTTTGTCTGCAAATGAGTCATTGTGAATAAAGCCAAAAGCAAGAAGAGATAACCAGCTGGGCCATGACCAGGAGACACATGCTCATAATTATTTCCCCAAGCTTTTCCCCCAACCGGTCACTGCCCGCCTTTGCTTTAAAGGTATATTACATTTCTGCAGCACAGTACATTCCTCAGCATTCAAAAAAAAATCAAAGCTCTAATAAGAAAAGCAACATTTCAGTTCAGTTCCCTTACTTAAGAGAAGCAATGCCAGCTGCACAGGTTCAATAGCAAAAGCCAGTCCTTATCCGCTTGCTTTAAATCCATCTAACACTTCCTAGGCACATTATTTAAAAATTGAAGGCAATTTTAGCAGAAATGCTCTATCTGGTGTCCCCTCATATACGGGAGGATTCCCATGTAAGAAGAAAAAGCAAATCTTGTGTTTGAAAAAGCAGCTTTTTCAAGTCCTGGTGAAATGCCGCAGCTTCAAAAAAAAAAAAAAATCAACAACAGAAAAAAAAATAGAAAAAATGGCGTGTTACCAATTAATCTATCATTTCATGGTTCAAGTCCTGCAGACCCTCGAAGCAGCAGCTGCAGCTGACCTGCCCTAGAAGGCCACGACAAGGTGCAGTGTAAGGAAAATTGTGTAAAATCTCTTGGGAATATCCAAAATCTTGGGTAGGCGTGAGCTCCTAGCACAGAGCAGGGCTTGTATGAAGGGAGGGTAGATGGCAACACGCTTGAAAGGCACGAGATGATGACGTGACACGCCAACCAAGAATTTTAAGCTGATTGCTGCTGCCTATTCATGTGAAAAATAGAGGGGTTTTTTTGCAGACACTGAACTCTAAACCCGAAAGGGGGACTGAGATGAGGGTGAGGGGCAGCTGAAAGCAAATGGGGGAGAGAGGAAATCACTGTATCTGAAATGGATTTCAAGCCGGATTCTCAGCATCACGTTCTATTATTTCTGACAGCGACACAGCAAGCCATGCAGTCAGAACGGTCAGAGCCATTATTTATCCCAACCTCATTTAATAATCATCCAGCAGTGAATAGATTAGAGCAGAGAGTTTGGAAACAGGGATTGGCAGCATGAAAAGAATAGGAAATACCTTCTGTGGCTTTTTATGTGGCGCTTTATAAAGCTTCTCCATTTTTTCTAAATCTGCCTCTAACTCAGTCTGGTAGAGGTAGAGGTCTTTTTCTAGATCAGTCTGGTTAAAGAAGGAGAAGAAGAATGGGAAAATAATGCTTAGGGTTAGGGGAAACCAAAGGAATGTTAATTTTGAAAAAAAAGCGAGCCTTTTTAATTGAAAAAAGATGAAGGTGGTATGAAAAATACACAGAAATTCACTAGCAATTAATCATGTTTCGATCATTACAGAGGAAATAATTTTAAGCATTTAGCATTCAAATTAAGAGATGTACAGGCCTGCTAGAATCTATTTCTACAAACCATAAAGTTATAAAACCCACCTGTAAGAAAAAAAAAAAGATACTGTAACAATATGCATTATGCTGTTAGTATAATTATCATTGCAAGTCAAGATAGCAAAACCACCACTCTACCTTACAGCTGATTATGATTTAAGAATTGTTTATTAAATCAATTTACTAGCTACTTAATTGTTAGGCTAATGAGCTCAAGCCCAATTAAAAAAAATCACTCACAAGCACACAAAACCCAAGCAATGTTACAAAAAAAAAACCAAACAAAAACCCACATCATACATACGCGCTGGATGCTGTAGTGCATGAGACACAATTACCTTTCTATCCTCTCTAGTAAGGATAGAGCAATCTCCAGGAGTATAATCCCAAATCTTTTTTGGAGGCTGATGGAAAGCAGAGGAAGGAAATGAGGAAATGAAGATAAGGAAAGACATCACAGAGAATATGGAAACTGGATTAGAACAGAGGGGGAATACAATAGGGGATTTGCATCAACACTGAAAAGAAATAAAAAACCAACAAACCACAACAGAGAAAGAGAGAGAGAAAGACGGATAAATCTGCTATAGCACAAATATCAAGAAATCATGAGGGGCAAAAGGGAACATACATGCAGTCTGCAAGGGGCTGTTTTCAGTAGTATGGGAGGAAATTTTTATTTTTGCAGGGTGCTCTAAGCCCACAGCTGTTGGTTAAAGCATTCTTAACAGAAAATCAAAACAAAATGGGAAAAAAAACCATATAGTCATAAAAAGCATTTGTTTTGCTCATTCTTCTTTTCAAAAGGAAAGGGCAATACAAGGGCCTTTGATAAAGAAAAGGGAAAATCTTTCCCACCCGCTTCAGACTATGTATACATACCATGTGAACAAATGGCTGATTTTCCAGTGGTGGCATTGTGGGGCAATGAGAATGCAGATTTGTTATTTTGTAGTTCAGTGGTTTGGGGGTTGTTTGTGGTGATTTTTGGCAGAGAGAGTGGCACACATGAAAGTTGGGGAACTAGTTATTTAAAATTCATCCTACAGGTGAAGGTGCCAATTTCAAAATAGGATTTTCCCATTTGGATGCCCATGTAAATATCTGGGAGGATAAAGTGAAAGATCTTTGTCCTGACACTCCTATCCAAATAATGCCAAGATAGCATCCTCATTTCACCAGATATGCACCTCTCACTGATATGCCCAGAGAGACTTTGTTCTTATTTGGTGAAAACAGAATACATTTGCTCTGTTTCCAAACAAAATTAACCTCTGCTGCCTGGCAAGTTTAGCAGTTTCCTTCATGTCCATACTGATTTCTGTGATTAGATTACTAAGTAAGTGTCTCTGAGTCACTGAGGAGGAAATCTCACCATTATCAAAGGTGAGACTGAGCTACAACACTTGGGTCTTAATCCGAATTCCTTTGTAGACTGCTTGGATCTGTATTTTGAATCTGTTCCTCTTTGCATTCAGACAACCATTGTGTGGATGCACATACTAAATACCTATTTAGTGACCATTAGATCAGCGGCTGTAGGAGGGTAGATGGTGTGGCAAAAATTAAAGATTAAGATTCAGATGGAGGAACTGGAGGGCATTAGGTGTAAAGGCAGGACTTGCACCTCTTTTTCCCGCCCCCTGCTTCTCCATTTATAGCAAAGAGGTTAACTCAGTGCTGTAACGGGAAGGGCTGGGAGCTGTTCATGTGCATTTTCCCACAATGACAGTGGAGAAAAAGTGAGCTCTAGACTGACTGTCAAGTTTTGTGCATGGGCTCCATGGAGGTGTGGAGCCACAGGTCAGGAGAAAGGAAGAAGTGTGTGGGGATTCAGTCTCAGCAGCATGAGAAAAAGCATCCCTGCTGCATAGATTCATCTGCCTGTCTGCAAGGCACACCTGCAGTCCACAGAGCTGCCCAGAAATGCACATCCAGCAGTGTGTCACTTCAGTTGCCCTAGGAAACACATCTGCTTTCCTCAGAGGGGAAAGTAACATCCTGATTATTCTGGTGTCTTTGGAGAGCAATACCCACAAGCTCACGGGAATTCTGTGCTCCCTTTTGCCAAGTGTTTCCTGCCCACATCACAGAGCTGCAAGTAAAGTTGGGAAGCCAAGGGAAATCATGCCTCTAGGAGCGCACATTATCTCCAGCACTGGAAAGAAAGCTGGTACAAAGACAGAGTCTTTGAAAAGCCCAGATACTAGTGAATATCAGTTGAAACTCTCAGCTGAGAAGCTTAGCCACTAGCTGGTCACAAAAATCAGGCCCTCCCATGACAGGAGTGAGCAAAGCTACAGAAAGCATGCTCTTTTGGCTGTGATAATGAAGCTCAGAGAGGTCTTTGCTAGCTATAAAAGTCAGAGATGGCATCCTGAATTCAAGTGCCTGATGCTGAAAAACTATTTACAGAGTATGACATTCAGGAGCTGGCATAGTTCTTGGGGAGCATGGCTGCATGGCTGTGGAGCTGGAGCAAGTTGACATGGGATATCATTTCAAGGAAAGCTGTAAGAAAACAGCACTTAACAACAGTGCCCTGAGCAAGACAGAGAACCTGTCACTAGAACAGATGCTCTGCTGAACTCAAGACGGATTGCTGATGCAGCCTGAGATGCCCTCTTCTGAAATAAGGACAAGGCTGCTTGACTGAAAGTCCAAATCCACACTTCTAAAGAACAAGTATATCCCCACAACTAGAAAGGACCAAGGGCACAAATGCTCTTCTTTCTTTGACACGTTTTCAATTAACTCATGCTAAGTCAATGAGAGGACAAACCTCCACTCATTGCAAAAGCATATGGCTATTAACTACATGAGCAAAGATAAGTGGGTTTCTTCTCACTGTGGAAATCTTAAGCCATGACAACTGATAAAGGGTTAAATCCTTTTACTGACAACACTTAAAAGCCTCAGTGAGGTGAGATTTATCTGACTTCTACTGCCTAAAAATTAGGGGGTCTCATCTCCAACATTGCTGAAGCTCCTTCTTTAGCTTAAGGTGGAAGGTCCATAGGTATAAAACATAGTTTTCTATGAAAGAATGGACTACCAACAACTGTACATGTTTGCTTCTCAGCAAAAATTACACTATATTTCTATGATATGATTGGAGTGAGCACTCAACTCCAGGAGGCTACATTCTGTGCAGATGAACTTTGACACTTCTGCCAGAACAAAGACTAGATTTAAAGAAAACCTGCTCTCTGGTGTTCAAGTGCAGTTGCCTCTGAAGACAGTACTGAACCTTAAAACATATTTCTGTTTTGTTGTACATGGAGGGAAATCTCAGCAGCACTCAAAAACGGAGTGTACGGGAATTTGACAGCTGATCTCAAGGAGAAAGGAGAAGCGACAACCAACCACTACGCTTGAATACACGTGAGAGGCTGATATTGACCCCCCGGTGCAGTAAGAATCAATTATTAAACAGTATGTAATAACAAACTTAATAGTGTTTAATCAGTAAGAACCAGGCCATAAAATGCCTTAAAGTCACATTTTTTGCAATAGCCACGACCGCTGATGTGTCCTCTCCATCAAAATGTCCTTTGTCCTTTTGAATAATTAAGCTTTGGTTCATCCTTTTCCAGAGGGAAAATCAAGGCTTTGTTTTTTTTTCTCTCTGCACAGAGCAACACAGGTCCATTTGAAAAGAAAGCACACTGTTCTCAGACTCCTTTGGTTTCAGGGAATGGCAAGGGCTATTCAACACAGACTGCTGCCCTCTATTTAGGCAATGGGAAGCTACATGCATAAGGAAATGATCAGGAAGAAGGGTCATGATCTGCTTATGGATAGCTGGAAATTACTGACTTGCAGTTTATGAGCTGGGGATAGGAATAAATGATTTTCCTTGACTTAAAGCTACCTCTCAGCTAACCTAAACCTTGTTAGGCATAAGGAGAATAGAGGCTTTGAATAATGAGAATAGGATATTATTTCTAACATTAACATCAAAAACGCAGTTTGAGCTATGGTGTGTGAGAAAATGTTGCCTTGTTGATACATGGTGCTGGAAGGGGGGGAATGTTTGCAAATGGCCTCAAAATACTAAAAGTGGCCACAGAACAGCTGCTTTACATTAGTGGCGGGATGACGTTACGTACAATCACATCTTTAAATGAGTAAGGCAGCTGTTTCAGGTTTAGGGCCTAGCAAAGAGATGTGACAATCATTAAAAAAAAAAAAAAAAAGTCAGATTGACTTCATTGGTCATTGCAACTATCAAACTTACCGGTTTCCCAAACTCCAATTCCGAAAAGAATTTATACCAAGGTTCATTCTTTAAATCTATCTCTTCTGGGCTTATATCCCGAGTCTAAAGGAGTTGGTGATAGGGGAATGGAAGAGAGAGAAGGATAACATTATGCAAAGAATACACAGAAAGGGACTGTTAGAGATGCAGATCCTATGGTTTCCATTCTGAAATGTAGATATTTAGCCTTATAATTTGGTATTTCTATAGCACCTCTCTCATAAAGGCCATGAACTTCTTTGCAAACATCAGTTAAGCCTAATAGCATCATTGTGAGCAACATGAATATGAATGAATTGCATTTTACAGATCAGGAGACCCACACAGAGAGAGATTATGCAGCTTGCCCAGAGTCACAAGAAGATTCAATGGAAGAGCTGGGAGTCAAGGAGTCCTACTGTCAGACACTTTCAAGTCCAAAGCTGCATGTACTTTAATGTTGTTTTTTTTTTTTTTTTTTAAATCGTCGTTTGGTTAAAAAAAAGAGAGATTTAGTGAGACCTGAATCAGATACTGCATCTTTAACAGCACATGAATATGTGAGAAACCCTGTTCTATACACTGCAAACAGAGTGGAAGGTGGTTTTCTAAATCAAATGAGACACAAGTCAGAGAGAGCGCACCCTGAAAGATCTCTGAAGGGATGGATAGAGCGACAATATTACATGTTTCCTCACAAATAAATGTTAGAGTATCAGACAAAATTACAGTGAAGGAAAATCAGACAAGACAGAAAACAGTACAGCTGAAAAGGAAATTCCCTTTCGTTCATACCATCTGTTTTAATGAAACAAAAAAGGTTGAAATAGTTGTAGCTGTTTAAAAACAGTACTGGTAAGGTAAGAGAATAAAAGTCCATTGCTGAGGCTTATAAAATGCCACTCTCCAAAAGATATCTAGCTAATTCTTGCATTTCAGTATACCTAGTCTTAGACATAATGGATCTTCTTGGTGCATTAAAAATCTAAACACATTATGTCTGATGTGCCAGTGTGATCCCAAGCACTCCATCACAACGAGCAATGAGCTACACAGATGCATCATGTGTCTCATGGAAATTGCTCTGTGATGGGGTTACTGAGGCAGTTGACAACAGTGCTGTACTTCTATGTCCCAGACTCTGGCTCAGCCATTAGCATCACAAAAGAAGCTCTAGGACAAGAGTTCAGGATTGATGCTGAATGAGAGGCAATGCTTCAATCTGTAAGATAAATAATTACATAATATTTGATGCCTGATGGACTAGAGAATCATTTGGCTATTTCTTAAAGGCAGAATAGAATCAATGCCTCCATTTTTTATTTACTGCACTCCAACTAAAAGCACTATCTTCTTATATAACTGCCTTTATATTAAAACAAAGCTCACTTATGTCAACAGGAGGCTCTTTGTTGACCTGAAATAGTTTTTGGGTTGGGATTCTGATAGTCACAGCTAGGAGGTTACTAGGAGTTAGCCACAAATCTCCTGCACCCTTCTTGATAGATCTAATCCCTAACCACTACTGTTCTATTTAATGAGACTGATGGAGAACTATGAAGACCTTCTTTCTTCCGTGATCTGTGGCTTTAAATTAAAGCTCATAAAAAAACCATTGGAAGTAACAAAGCTATGACATTCATCTTGGTTTTGACAAACTCTGTATGTACAATTTTTCTCAGTTATGCTGATGATGGTCCTGCTTGTGGCTTATAGACTCTGATTCCACAGTTCAGTTAAGTATCTGATGAAGTCTGAACATGTAAACAGTGCCACTGGTGATGACAGACCTTTTGCAAATGCTTAAGTACACAGATGAAACCGGCCTTCTGCCACAAGTTTTAATCTTTCCTGTTTACCGTGAGACAAAATTGCCGCTTAAGTCAGCAGACATCTTGTTCCAGGATGAACTGCAGGAATGGAGTTGTCATACCATGTTCAAACCACTCCTCACTGGCACTTCTCTAATGGGCTGAGCCAATGCCCAGTAGTATCAAGAGGGAGTCATCCATCGCCCATTTCAATAGGCACTAGGATCATGCTCCCATAAAGAGCAACTTTGTTAAAGTCAATGAAGGGACACGGGTGTGAAAAGAAGTTGGTTGCAGGATCTTCAAAAAGTGACGGACCTCGATTGCACTTGGAAGGAAAAAAGAAAACCCACCAAAATACTAAGGAGAAACATCAGGTACCAGATTAGATTTGATTCTTACATTTCTACTGATTTAAATTGCTATTCGTTCTTATGTAAAATCCTTGGCAGGTTTTCCAGGAGCATTCCTTTACCTACTTCATGCATGGATCAGTGCCTGAGCTGTTAAGGCACAAAGTCCAGTTTACATTTTGAATCTCACATGCAATTAGCGCTTCTAATTGAATCCTTCAAATTAATGTCTATATAGAACTATATGTACCAAACTTGTTATACACTACTAACATCATTCTAGTATTTTCCAGGACTTACAGTGTCACACTTGCACCACTGAAGGACATCTTAAATGATCTGTGGTGATTTACACAGTACTGGCTGATGAGGTTAGCATTACCTCTCTGCCCTGTCCTTTGTCATGTGTTCTCAGCCAAGGCTGCAGAAAGAGACTTTTTTATGTCCCCTAGCTGTCACAATTCACAGCATTTTTTACTAATTTCATACTCAAATTGGTAACAGCTTGCTTAATACTCCAGGTTACTTTCTGGCACAGTTGGGGAGCCAGCTCCCTTTCAGTCCTGCCACCCCTGCCACAGAAGTGGTGAGATCCAACTGAGGAAGAAAGCAGCCCAGGGGAGATGGCCATGTCCTAATGCACCTCAGAGGCATCCACTGAGGCACATTACAGGCATTCTAAAAACTAGTTCAGTGTTTAAAGCATCAGAGGTACAAAGAAACTGAACCTGCCTGCTCTGTTGCATAATGCCTTCAACTTTACTGCATCAACTAATGCTGTGCCCTAGAAAAAGTACAGCTGGCAAAACAGCTGCTGAACAGGTCACAGTGTCAAACATGGATTAAAAACTAGGGTTAGTGATCCATACTTAACACAGAAAACAACACGTCCAAAAGGAAAGAAGACTCTCAATCCCCCTGGATCTCGCTCTATAGAGAACAAAAATGTTAGGAAGTTATGCAGAACAATTTTCAAAATCTATCACACGAGCACTGCAAGGTAAGCATAAGGAATCCCATCTGCATAGAACCGGACAAGCATTTGGAGAGTATTTCATAATCGCAGGATAAAGCCACAAACTAGGATAAATCAAACATTACCATCTTTTCATTGTTCAGAACGGAGGACTTTCCTGGCTGATAGTCATAAATGCTCCTGGGTTCTGCACGATATTTTCTGGTGTCCACCTTCTTGTCTGGAGGCTCCCAGTCCGTCCTGAGAAAAGAAAGGTTAATTAACCCAAAATACCGTGATTTCTGTGGAGACAAACACTTCATTTTGACAGACACTTTTCTTCATTAATTATGGTTTAATCAGGGTACATTTTTTAATCTTGAAAAGGAGTCTGTTGCAAGAGGAACAGTTCAGATGGGGCTCTGGACATATATTTTTTTATTTATAGCATGCAGAGTTTGATACAGCTCAGCTGCTGAAACCACTGAAGCAGAGGTTATTCCAAGTACTTTCAATAAACTTTCAGATTTCCAAATCTTTCCTCATTGGAAATAGCTTCATGATGGGCTTCAACTAAGCTCAAAAATATGAACATGTCCAAACTTTGAGAAGAACTCAGATTAAATCTCTTTTGCTAAATGTCTTAATTTTAGCCACATTACTGATGACCTGACTACCACTGCTCTGGATTCTGGGGGGCACTCTGGAGTCCAAGAGGAGGTCTTTTCTAGAGACATGAATGAATTCTCTCAGACTGGTATATCTAAAGATGACTAAGAACAGTCCACTGACTACCCAAACCACTATAACTTTGTGCAGTGTCTACACTGGCACAGTTCAGGTAACAACAGTCACAAAGCATTCAGGGTCCATATCCTACAATGTCCAGCTGTTCTGAAAATTATTATACTTAAACACCTCATGCAGAAAAACAGATGCTCTCCCCCCAAAACTCCAGAAATCAGGCCATTTAAGATGTTAAACTAATTTTGATTTTGCTCCTGACATGTTCTCTTTGATGGGCAATGTATATGTGGATTCATCTCCCCTGGCATTCACCAAACAAAAGGGAGGCATCTAATCAAAACTGCTGCTCCACATTTCCTCTCCCTTACCCTATTGATCTGGTTAGGATAGGAACAAACCACTGAGTTTGAGAGCCGAAACTCTCTTCATTGGCTGATGAGAGACAGAGACAACCAAGATGACAGCCAAAATGACTGGCCTACAAACACTGTACAAATTTCAACAAGGTTGATTTTTGCTATCCAGAATAACTTGATTGTTTAAGATTCCAACCCCCAAAAAATTCTCCCTGCTGAAACACACTTGAAACACTCATTTGCCACTAGATAATAGGAAGCACTAATTATTGTAATCCTTTCACTTGCAAGAGTTTTCTCAGAGGACAGACACACTATGCCTTGAATACCTGTGTCAGGAAGACATGTTCTATCAGTAACTTCTGTCTCCTGATCTGGTGACCTGAGATGCTCACTAAATTAGCAATCTCAAATTACAGCATTGCTCATTTGCAGCAAGGCAGCAAATGAGAAACATTAAGAGCCTGTGGAAGTTGGTGAAAGAGTAAGGCGCAGTTCAAGAGCTGGGAGAATTCAGCAGGACATAAAATATTCATTGCTCATTCTGCTTTCCTTTCATTTGGTAAGTGCATTCATTAGTGTTACAAAAAGGTAGCAAACATGTGATAATAAACAAAGCAAAAAAGTCATCCTGAAAGATCATAAGTGGCACTGCTAACCAGAACCTACTTCCAGTAAAGTTCATGTGGGTGGAACCTCTCAGAGCTGGAAAATGTAACAAAGTTTTTATCAAGGTTCAACATAAATCCAAATTTTGCTTCTCCGCAATTATCTCTACTTGCTTGTATTCTGAGGTGACTTCATAGTATAACACTGAGCCAAGAGTTTCCACTGTGGCTATGTGGTAGGCACTGTATAGGCATGACACCCAAGGAAACACTCCTCACCCAAGCAGGAGACTATGCAACAGACTGTGTGATGTCTGATAAAAAAGACAGATGGAATGGGGGACTGGGCTATGACAGCGAAGGAGTTCACTGCTGCCTAGTAGAAGATTTGGGGTAAAAACTATATATCCAATTTCCCATAATAGTTTAACTGCAATAGTGGACCTAAACGTCCCACTTTCGTCCCCTTCCCATTCACAGCTTTCATATATCCTTCCAGCACCAATCCATATGTATCTCAGTTCAGGTCACCTTTCTGGGCTTGATTTCAGTGATGAAGTACGGTTTGGAAGTGGCAAAGTGGCAGACCTCTTTACAACCTTCTCTGAATCAATATTGTCCATCTCACTCTTGGACCGGGGAACTGAAAGTTGGGTTCTGCCTGTAGGATAAGTCAAATATAGGAATATTGGTGAATTGTATAGGAGGCAAATAAATACATACTTTACATGCCCTTTCTGTTTAACAGATTAAACAAGAAATGTGAATTACTTACTGTCCTCGGAATAGGAATAACGAGGAGAGTATGAATCAGAATCTTCATCTGAAAGACAAAAGCATTTTGCAAGTGAGCTGAAAAAGCCCCAAAGAAGAAGCACCAGAGACCCTTTCATTTCCTCTACTAATACATTCACCATAATTTGAGTGATATGCCCAATACTTACCATGGGGAGAAGATCCTAAAAAATAAAATCCCAATGAGGTTTAAATTGCATTTAAATATAATTCCTAGATTAGATATAAATATGAACATACTACTTACACTGATACTTTACTCCAGGCTCTCTAAGCACTTCAGAATCTAAACAATCCCTTTTTATCACAAAACTCCTGTACACCATGGATTGTACACTTTATTAAAAGCTGAAATGGGAGCTACTTTATTAAAAGCTGAAAAATAAATAGAGGATCTAAAAGCCACAGTATATGATTAAAATAATTCATTAGGTGCTAGACACAGTAATAGAGTTGAGGACTTCTCCCATTTACATATGATAATTGCTGGGCCACCTTTCTTGTATTAACTTGTGCACCAAGTTGAAGCACAGTCACTGACTCAAATGATCTTCTAGGCACAGATGATGTTTCTGGCACAAGACATACACATATACCTGGACCAAGTGACAGTTCTTGTTCTGAAGAGCTTATTTTTTAAATAGCAAATATGTATAAAATGTATATAGAGATATTAACACAGCTCTAAAAGAGCTCGGAATGACATCAGTATAACCAAGTGGGGCAGTCTGGCCCCCAAGTTGAATAACCTTCTCTCTCTGACAGTGACAGTGTTTCACTGCATCAACACAGCAATGTCCTTTCCAGGACACAGCTGCTACTGTGGGCCATGGAACCACATAATGCCTTATTCAAAGATAATACAGTACTGTGGTGCACAATGCAGATGTGCCCAAAAAGAAAGGAGTGCAGCAACATCACCACCGTCTACTCTACAGATGATGGTCAGAGGAGACTTTGATTTGATAAAAAACCTTGTGGTATCCTTCCACCATCTTAAACAGGCTATGGAATGAATCCTCTGTGAACTGCAGGTAGTAGCAGAGGGAGTTGCAATCAGTCCTGAAAACTGGACCCACAGGTCCCTTCCTCTGAAGATGGGGGTTAAAACTTGCAGGGATGTGTGCATGAGAGACATGTACAGGACTTCCAAGGCAAAATGCACAAAAGTACAACACAAGGACTACTCTACTCTGCACTGGTGTAGCCTCACTTTGAGTACTGAGAGCAGTTTTGGGCACCACAATATAACAAAGACATTAAGCTATTAAGAGAATATCCAAAGGAAGGTAACAAAGATGGTAAAGGGCCTCGAGGGGAAGCCTTATGAGGAGTGGCTGAGGTTACTTGGCTTGTTCAGCCTGGAGAAGACCAGACCTGAGGGGAGACCTCATCGCAGTCTATAGCTTCCTCACAAGAGGAGCTGGAGAGGCAAGCACTGATCTCTTCTCTCTGGTGACATAACCCAAGGGAACGGCCTGAAGTTGTGTCAGGGGAGGTTTAGGTTGGATATTAGAAAAAAGTTCTTCACCCAGAGGGTGGTTGGGCACTGGAACAGGCTCCCCAGGGCAGTGGTCACAGCACCAAGCCTGACAGAGTTCAAGAAGCTCTCAGGCATATATGGTGAGATTACTGGGGCTAAACTGTGCAGGGATAAGAGTTGGACTAAATGATACTCCGGAGTCCCTTCCAACTCAGAATAGTCTGTGATTCTGTGACTGTAAAGAGAGCTGTGAGCAAAATATCATTAACACCCCTGTGAAGAAACCACTAATGTGACAGAGATAAAAAGACAAAAAAAAAAACCACTCCAAAATTAATAACGGTAGAATGAGGCAGATAAAATAACATTCTAAGAAAGTGTTATGTGAATTTAGTGATGCCAATTAACAGATTGAAACAATTTTCAAATTTTCTAATAAGGAGAACATCAATCAGCCACTAAAGCCAATCTCATCTGCTGGAAAAAACAATCTGGCTAACACAGCTGACCTGAAATTGCACTCAAGCCTTAATCAGGCCTTTCAAGGAGGCTCAGGGAAGTCTTAACTTTAGCCTCTCTTCTTTAGTTCTCTTGGGGAATTAATTAAAAGGTTTAAGTTCTAAAAAGATGGTTATTGACTCTGGTGTGCTTATCATAACTTTCAGGCATAAAAATAGAAAAGATCAATTTTCTGGCCAATTCCTGTATTTTAAACCTTAATGACAGAAAACAAATATTTATATTATACTGAATTGTTGACAAAATTGACTGATATTTTTATATATAATTTTGTTTTATTCAGATAGCAAAATACTAGGTAAATCACAAAACTCTCAGTCGCTACCAATACAGATGAACAAATGTCTAAAACTGTCTTCACAACCATTCATTCACCTCTAATAATCTTATTTAGTGCTAGTGAACAATATATAATTTGATTACTTACTTGAAGAGAAATATCAATATTTATTATGGCTCATCATCCAACAAGAAAACTATACAATAAAGACTTCACATAATTACTATTTTCCAATTTCTATTATTCTAATATCCACAATAATATGGAGAACATGTATGTTTTGTCTCTGAGTATCTTATCAAGAAGAATGTCTACATTTCTTTGCTTTTTACAGCAAGGAATACTGAAACACAGAAATCTGGAATGACTTGATAACTTTAAAACAACATCTCCCGTCTCTCAAAGCTGCATTCTATCTGTGGGACCCTCCTTAATGGAGCAGAATATTGTGAGTTTGTCATTTCAAGATCTGATTCCTTGAAAGAGAAGAGGTGGTTGCCTTACAGATCCTAGAGAATCTGCAGGGTTGGGTTTCTAGAGACTCTAAATGTAGAGGGGAGCCCAAATCTTGATCTTTCTAGGAGATCCTATGCATCAATCCAATCTGGCCCTAATTGTATGAAACTGAGGCTCCAACCCACACTCCAATTCACCTACATCATCAAATATTCCTTACTAAGGAAAGAATCCAAGCAAATATTAGAGAAATGTTTCTCAATGTATTGAGAATAAAATTAGTATTAGGTCCAATAAAGTTTAAACTACTTAACAGCAAATTACTTTCATATGCACATTTTTAAGTGCACATGATTTGCAAGACAGGACTCCTCACCTATAGCTTTCACCAAGAAATTATCAAGTATCTTGAATAACTGTAATACAATTTGTCCATACTCCTTTTAACAGTGAAATGCACCTTACATCTCGCCTTCTCTGAGCATCTCAGCTCGTATTATATGCTTTCTTCTTACACAATCCCCACCACATGTTTAATATTAACATTGAATTAAATGGTTAATTAACAGTCTCACCAGGGTTGGCTTGAGGCACAGGCTAAGTAGGCAAGTTCCTAAATTGCAGGATCTAAAGTGTCACCAAAGCATCAAGTCAACAAGGCTGTCACCAACAACTTTCCCAATCAGGAAATGTTTGTACACCCAATGTGTGCAACAGATTCCATTGTTTCTCATACATAAATATTTTGCAGAGTTACATGATTAACACTGCAGCAGATGTTATTTCCTCATCCCTGAAATATGACTGCAAAGGATTCTGATTTGAATATGAAGTTAAAAGGAATCTGCTGAGCACAGGAAGAGATAAGGTAAAGACAGTGTTATTTCAAGTTGCAAGATGTGCTGATGAGATCTTCAAATGTTGTCCTTGCCTAGATATGCCAAGTGCACCTAAGGCCAGCCCTGAACCTATGTTATGTTTATTTTAAAAGACTACATTGAGGGACCGATCCAAAACCCACTGAAGCAAGCAGCCTTTTACCAATAGGCTTCAGTGACATTCTGGATCTGGCCCTAACACTATGTTAATATTAAAAACCAGAAGCAAATAATTAGTGAAATTTATTGATCTGGAAGGAGGGGGAGAGAAATCTCAGTTAAACATCTTTACATGTAAGTCAGCAATCTAGACATGTTAAATAATCACCGCACGCACAACTGATAAGCGCATAAAACCAAGCAAACCCCAAGTCTGTAGCATTAGTCAAATACCAGTTACAAAGCCAGAGGAGCACTGCAAAGCCAAAAAGACATCATACAGTCAAGGCATTGCTTAGAGTGCAGCAAATCATTATGAGGCAGCACAACGCTCAGCAACTAGAAAAAACTCCGGGAAGAAAATAAATGGATAAGGCAGCATTTGTGCAGAAAAATATATATGGACCTTTATGATTACCTTCAGAGATAGGACTAGGAGTAGACGCAGGAAACTGGTATGTAGGAGAATAAGGATTGTCTTCTGCAGCAGAGAAAAGCAGTGGATTTTGAGACTATCCACAATGAAGTGGAGGTTCTGCTTCATCCCCCAATTTCCTATCACTATATGATTTTATTGCCTACTTTAATAAAACCAGGGTAGATGGCATCATACTTTAAAAAAAAGATTAACGGATTAGCAAAGATTTAGTTATTTTATGCATCACATAAGACATAGTGGGCATAACTGAATTTCCAGCCAGTGTAATGTAACACATGGGTAATAGAAAGCTAGAACCTGAATCTAGTTACTATTAGGGTGCTATAGTACAGTTAACTCAAAGCACAAGACAACAGATACTCTGACTAAACTTCTGGTACCTTCAGGTTTTTGCTGGATTTCAGGAAGTTCAGGAAATATGTAGGTAGGGCAATAAGGGTTTTCTTCAGGAGTGTCTAAGGAGAGGAACGTGATTTGCAAAAAAGAACAGAGAGGACAGATTTAAAGGGGAAGAAGGGCAAGACAAGAATCCATTCAAGCTGACTGCAGAACAGGCCCTCTCGTGATGATCTTCTATCATGACACACCCTAGAATGCCTCTTTGCTCAGTGCTGCCTTGCATGTCTGGGCCTTGTGAGAGACCCTGAAAGCCAAGGGAACTGAACTCATTCTCCTCCATCTGAGCATGGGCTCTGGCTGAGCTGAAGATCCTCTGTTAAGAGCAGCAGGAATAGGAAACAGTTCAGCTCTTCCTCGTTCCATCCAATATAACACAGCATTTAATTATGCATAAAGCTCATTATGACAGCACCTGCAGCACCAAATACAGCGCCAGTTTTGCATGCTCTACATTTTATTATATAAGCACAGATCTGAACTGCATTCGCCAGCACATCAGGCTGTTCAAAGGGCTCAGTTTGCAAATGCTATTGCAGCCATTTCTCACACAGAAGAAAAATCTAAATGTATCAGCAGTCAGGCACAGAAGTGCCCCAAGGTGGGAATCCCCTGAAGTGCACCACCACAAAGTGCTCACCACAATTTTAGGTTTTGAAGGAAAAAGCTTAAGGTCTTGAAAATGCAGAGTTCAGATTCTGAACTCATAAAAAATCAACGGAAACCTTTCCATTGGTTTCAGTGAACTTCAAATCACTTTGTTGTGCAGACACTAAAGCTTTACAGTGTAAAAAGTTTTCTTTAACACACAGAGGACTTTGAGGGATAACCTACTGTCCTTTAAAAGTGTGTGGGATGGGGTCGGCTGCTAAAACAGGAGTTCAGGGATCTATTTTCTCTAATTATGCAATTATCATCTTTCTGGTCTCAAATAGTACACTTGATTTCACGAGGGCACTACAATTCACCTTTCAGAACAACTCAGACCTTTCTTTGGACTTCACTGTTCTCTCCCCTTTAATTTCAGAGATTTTAAATAGATTAGTTGAGTTTTGTGGTGCAGAGCAAACACAAGTTAACATAAAATCCTTTGATTTAACATCCAGTACAGTTCTTTACGTGAATGAAACAAAATGTCATCAAGGTGGTCTTTTAAGGTAAATAAAAACCATCTGTGCTACAGTACCTCTATTTAGCTTGTGGATCTGTTTGAACATCGTCTTGTACCAGTCCTTCGATCTGTCGGTATTCTATTGGAAAAATAAATACACATAATTACAACAATGATTTCTACCAGACTTTCAAAGTTATTACAAATCTTCCAGAAACGAGAAAGGTTTACACTCTGCTATGTGAAGGCTGTATGACATTATTACTCTGAAATATGAGTGATTTCCCTCAAGATATACCCTCTCACATGTAACAAAGCTATAGGTTTCACTCAAGTTACTAATTAATGCACAAACTTTGTAGAGGCAGGTTGTAACTTCTGTAGAACTGCAGACTGTGTGGAAGGTTTTGCATATTAATTTGATTTGACATCTAAAATTAGGCACCTTGCCTATTTTAGTCATACATACCAAGTATTTCCTAAGTATTCAATGGACAGTTAGAAACATTTAGTGTTCAACTCACTGCACATAACAGTTGTAAGAACAGGTTAATTATTCTTTTCATAATTTCCCCTGAACACTGAATGAACTTAAAGATATTGTATAGAAGAGGTATCTGACTTTAAGATGGCTAAAATGAGATGTAACTCTCCTTCAGCTGATAGCTGTGAAAGAAACAGAGGAGCAGAAAACAGTATTTTCAAATATTATGAGAAGAAACATAGATTTTTTATTTTCTTTTCCCCTGAGGCAGCTGAAACAAGTCATTGATAGCAAATGGAGTCATTCATCATAAAATACGTTGAAACTAGAATTCTATCTTCCCTTGTATCTCTGCAGCTTTAGTGAATTCTCTAAGTCCTAAGGTAGGCAGAATCGATCCCAAGTTTTATGCATCAACCACATGCTCAGTGTTGTCTTACCCTCAGCGGAATCCCAATATCATCAACAGAGGTATCAGCCATGTGGTGAGGGCTCTTGATAGTGCTTCTCTTTTCCTCCATTGACCTCTTCTCACTTGGCACTGTCTCCTGAACCAGCTTGTCCCGTACGAGTGCTGAATCAACTTTATCAGAAACTAATCTGTCTGGCACTGAATCTGGAAATGACAATGGGGGGGGATTTTACCTTATCCCAGCATTTCACTACATCATCATATTCTGCTCTTGTAAGACAAAAATCCCAGCAAGTAATTGATGAGACAGACTGTGTCACTGCTAACTATGGTTAGCAGTTGGAATGAAGGAAATCTCCCAGGAAAATGTCTGATGCCAGCAAAAGCAAGCTTGCATCTCTCAGGTAGTTACTGTCACAAATTTCACAATAGTCTCAGCTGTCATATAAAACAATGGAAAATTTTATTTTCAAGGGCTGTTTGAGATTTGGGGTTTTGTGTCCTTTCGACTAATTAGCAACTCTTCAATCTCATTCGTCACCAAAAAGCACCAGCAGTAAGTCTCCTGGACATCTTTTTTCTGCTGGTGTTGTCACTTTAAAGGAGCATCCTATGTGGCAGGGGGCACTACTTTTTAACAGCTTGCACTCACCTGCCTGACAATCCCATTTGTTACAATCAGTATATGATGTTTCCAATTAATTTGTGTGCTCCAACCAGAGTGTGTAAACAACAAATTCCACCGTTTTTAAGCACACATATGACATATGATTGCACGAGTCTGCATAAAGATGGAGGGAAATAACTAATTGCTTCAGACCGCTTCCAAAACTGGAATTCAGACTTGCTTCCAAACTAGAATTCCTTGATGCTATCCAACTGACACTCAGAGGTGGCAGCAGGCACCACCACTGGCCAAGGAACCCAGGGACTTCAGGCTGCTCTGAAGCTCTACTATGCTCTGGAGAGCTGCAGCTCAGCAACTTTTAGGCTCAGTCAAGAATTTTTTCTATGTGGATTTCCTGAAGGGGGAACATCTGTAATTTTACAGTCTGCCTGATCAAGACTTTGCCAAATCCTATCATTTTTATATCACTGCATGCACTGAAGAGAGAGAGAGAGATGTTTATTCACATGCACACCACCATACTGCCCAAAGCCATTAGATGTGCAGAAATCTGAAAGGGACAGATACCAGAGGAAAGGCTCATGCACAGCAATGCATTGATCTGTTGGTACCTTGAGCAAACACAATTCTGCCCCCTGCAATTCAGTACTGAAGGATTTACATTTAAAAGGTTGGTTTGCAATTACTATCAACCTTTAAGTTTTCCTCCTCTTTAACATAAAACAATAATGTTTATATGTTTATGTAAAATAGTAACATTTATAAATGTTCAAAAAGGGGCAAAGCATCTATTAAATCCTTGGTTGGCATTTTCATCCTATTTCCCCTCCCTGTGAATGTGTGTGCAGTCTTTCACATCCCTAGTGTACAGAATTTTCCATCTTGTAGGACATGTTTGGGACTCTTTACTCAGCCTCTAGGAATTGCACATGAAAAGAGCAACTGAAACTAGACCATCCTTCCATGACCTTGAGGGCCAAAAGGAAGCAGGTTTTTGGGTGGGGATGAGGAGAGGATGCAAACTTTAGGAAAGGTCACAACTTTTCTCCATTACTTATCATTGTCACTGCTGATGTGACTTCTGCTCTAGAAAAGTCATTATTTTCTGCAGGCTAAAGAATTCAATGCCAGAGAAGGGCACAAAGTCCTTCTCTAACAGGATTGGTAAACATATGTTGTTTCTCTTTGACTCTCTAGCTCCCTGCACTGGAAAAATGGCTGGCTGCTTGCCAGGCAGACCTTATCTGAAACTATGATGATAATAGTCAAAATACCTAATACAGACATAAACAACAGGGAAAATGTATCACAATCTGATTTCTGAATGCCACAGTGATGATCTAAGCAAAATCTTTATTTTGATGATTTTGCAAACATGAAATCTGCCAGATGGCTCGTGGTAGCCTTCTGCCAAACATTTATTCACATTTGTAATATTAAAACATGAAAGTCTGGGAGCTACCTAGCGTGACATAACAAGGGCAAAAATCTACCCCTTAAATGTATTTTGAAGGAGTTTTCAAAAATAATTTTTGGAGTGCATTTAGAACTGGTTGAAGGAGCTGGACTGATAACCCTGGAGACAGGAAAGGCCTACCCAACAGCACAAACTGTGTTAGGGCAAGCCCTCCCTGTGCACCCTCCAGGTAAGTCCTTCCTAGGTCCACAGGACTCAACCACGAGGACCAGCCTAGGTGCTGGTCCTCAATGCGCTGGTCCTCAGGTGTGCAACACTTGCTGTGCAAGTGTTTTTGCAGACAGAGGAACTAAGGTACACATCTTTTGTAAAAGGTTTCCTACAATACCCTACAACTTGGAGAATAATGGCTAAATGTCACCCTAACTTACTTGCCATGATGCTCCAATGATTTCAAGAGAGTTTATGAAGATATATACCAGGCTCGGAGGTATTTAAAAATCAGAGCCAAATCTGGTGCCTAATTGCCCAAATAACCAGATTGCACCAGTTAGCACACTCCATGGCACCTGAGCCACCCTTTTGCAACAGCAGCAGCAATATATGGGGTTGTACAGCAAGAGAGTTTGACTGCTTTGACCAATAGGACAAAAACATCAGGGAAGAGGTGGCAGCCAGCAGCTTTGTGTGGTTGTTTGGTACACTGAGAGCAGATGCATTCTTCCAGACTGAGGATCTTTCAGGCTATAACAAACTACTCTGTGGCTATCTGTAGTTCATAAACAAAGGAGGTCCTGATAATGAAGGGAAACACCTTGTGAAGGGGAAAACCAACAGGAAACTCCTGTTGGGACTTGCAGGCAAGTGTTAAACTCTCAGCCGAGTGGTGTCTGATGAGACAACAGCTATGCCAAGGGAAGGAGCTGAGAGAAACCACTGTAAGCTGTCATAGAGCCTGTCACCTCAGAAGGGTAGCCACAGAGAGGAGGGACAGTCTGGGGTTGCAGCTGAAGGAACCTGGTGTATGAAGTCCGACCAGGTCAGCAACTGCCTCAGGGGCAGATTCTGTCCTAGTGGGACAGGCTCTGTTAGTCCAGGGCCCAAATGAGAGAGTAGGAGCACGCAGTCGGAGCACTCTTGGGTTTCTACTGTGATACTTCAAGTGCTTAGGCACTCTCCAGGACTCTTCTCTCTCACCTCTCCATTTACCCTGCCTTGGCCATAACCACAGAAGGATAATACAGCATAATGTGCTGTTCCTGTAACCCCCACTGCAGACTGAGCTACTTCTAGTTGGGGTGTGGAAAGTAAAAGATGACCGGGAAAATAATTTGCTCATCTTTCAAGGACAGACTCTCACACCTGTGCAGAGAGGGGTAGCAGCACACATGCATATGTGTATACTACAATTTTAGCATATATTTCTTGACATCTAGCACAAATACTTCTGCTCTTGGAGTCCTGTAAACACTGATTTTTATTTATCTTCCTCTCCCCTCATGACATGTGAGACTAACTGTACTGGGTGTGTAGAGAAACATGAGAATATGCTCCCAAGGGAATAAAACTAAAGGCTCAAAAGGCAGTCACAAAAGTCAACTAGAACAATCAAATCGTTTGTAAATCATTTGCCTAGGAGGGACAGATAAGTAATTTAGTGTTTTGGTATATTCCTTTGCAGTTCCTGGGCAGTGTGTTTGCTAAAGGTACTCCACAAGCTACCAGCAGCAGCTTTGCTCCAGCAGAGGCAGCAGTTGGGGAGTAGCAGACCTTTTACATCATACCTGCCAGGCTACTAAGCCTTTTTTGCTGTTCTGTGGTAAAGGGAGAAACAAAACAAAAAGAAATACAGAACAAATGGGTGAGACATAAACAGCGAGTGCTCTGGTGCTGCATTTCTGACAGGCAAGAAATACGCTGTAGACAGAATCGCAGCAGCTGCTGGAGAGAATCTGTTTTCAAATACCCTGCCAAAGTGACAGCCCACAGTCCCTTCTCCACACAGCAGCCTCATGGAATAATACAAATCTCATGATGCAGTGACCGATACATTTGCAAAGAGCACTTTTATTTAAATTTTCACTTTTTTATAACATCAGAGAATGAAATGTTGGACAGGAGATAATTTGAAAAACTGTAAAAATTCACGGAGTCAAACAACTTGACAACTCACTCTATTACCATTAGCATGAAATACATTTTGAAATAATACTACTGTAGCATTTCAAAGGGATATAGGAAAGGATCAAGTAATTGCTGAGTCTCATCACATTCCACTGAGCCACAGATTCAGTGATTTGTGCACAGACACAGCTTGAAGGTTTTGATTCTCTGAACGGTCCCCTACGTTAGGGGCGTCTCATTAATGAGTTTCCAGACTGGGACATTCGTGGTATCTTTCAGCATGTTTGACTATTCTGAAGTTGATGCTTTCTAAAAGGATGCCCATATGTCTTGCCCAAATCACAGCTAGGAATAAAACCACAAATTCTTAGCACTAGCACTCCACTCTCTGCTTTTTCTACTCTCTAGAAATTAATCCCTTGATTTAAAGCATGAAAGCCATAAGAAAAGAATAAACTATTTTACTGACATAAAAAACACAAACACTTTTGAAAGTTCACATTGTTAGTAAAAAGATTTCAAAACTTTAATATATTAAACACACCTGTTATATATGTGTGATAAACCATGCCATGCAATCCCTGCCCAGGAAATAACTGTGCTTTGGGGCGGCATTTAACACTTGCCAAATAAGTCTGCAGCAGGTCACAAATCTCCAGGTATATGGTGTTTGCTAGCAGAACTCATACCTTCACTGGATATCTGTACTAAGTGGATCATCACAGCAAGGGAAACTGAGATATTTCTCCTCTGTGCAGATCCCTTGTCAATACCTATGAGCTTTGTTCTTCAACTTCTGCCCTGCTAACCAGCAATGGAAAGCTGCTCCTGTGCATTATGTTCACCTGAGAGCTGCCAAGGAAACAAACCCCAGTGTGTGCAGGGTAGAAGGAACCAAAGGGCAGATGGGAACCCCCTGCTGCAGGGTTCATTGGTCTAAGCAGGCCATCAGCAGTAAGCTGCTGTAGTATAAGAACACACAAGTGAGAAATGCCAGGATGCCCATCTCTGATCACTTGAGAGAAAAAATGCAAGTGAGAAGTCTCAGCTTCAGCCACCCCTTTGCTGAGCAGAACTATGTTGAATCACTAAACTCTTCTGACAAGAACATGTGGTTTAAAAATTCAGTCATATCTCTTTACCACGGGGAGAGAATACCACGAATTAATGCACTTTTCATGAAAATAAAACCCCACAACTTTTTACATGAAGAGGAGATTTCGTTCTCACTTGTATCTCTGTGTAGCGAAGGGAGCTGCTGATAGAGGGAAGCAGGAGGAGCAGGAAGTGTCTGCTACTTCACCCTCCCACCTGACCAGAGCCAGATTGTAGCCCCAGGCACACACCAACTAACTGAGGCTTTCACCCTCGATCCTGTGTTCTGGGACTGTAAGCAAAGGCCAAAAACTTGTAGGCTTCTCAGAGAAAGGGTCAAGCAGAGGGATAAAACTGCTTGCAACAGTGAAAGAATGATTACAGATGCCTTCAGAGTTCCTCCAGAGGAGGGAGCACTGGAGGAAAGGAAGACTTGAAACCAGTAAAAAAGAGGGAAGATGAAACAAGTATTTGAGAACATGTTGAGTGCAAAATAAAGGTGTCAAAAAGAATATTTAGCCAGACACCAACAGATATGAAGGGAAAAATTCTTACCATGGTGCTAGAAATGAACAAGAGGATCTGAAATTACTTGTTTATAAGCATGAATTTTATTCAGTTTATCTTATTGAAATCCAGGAGAAAAAATTCTCAGATCTTTCATCACAACTTAGTGAGTAAGATCAAGCAGACAAAAAAGGATACAGTGTACTGTCTGTGTTTCAAATTCCACTACCTGTTTCTAAGTCTCTGATAGCTCAAAATCTAAGGATTTTACATGCAGATTAATGAACTAGCAAATAAAGCACAAAATACTAGTAAGTAATAGTAAGTAGGTGATGTCTGCTACAACAGTCACCTCAGAGAATAAGAGAACTAGCTGCTTAAAGGCAATCAATAATCCACTAAGGAGAAAGAAAGCCACATTATCCATCTGAAAGACTAACTAAACTACTGGAAATCTCAGACTGCCAGCATTAAAGCGACCTTGAAATTTCTAATTCAAAGGGTATTTCAGAGCACACAAGAGGAATTTATATTAAACATCATCTTGACATGAAGGAACGAATTTCAGCACAAAACATAATTAAGTATTCAGGGGAAGGTAAAACACAACCTAGTAACAATTTGTTATATGCCATGAGACCAAACTAGTTTTGAATAGATAAGGTTCATAAAGGTGAAACTAAATATGAATCATGTCAGCCAGGACAGAAATTCAATAGATAACTAAGATCTGAGAACCACTTAGAAAGAGTAAGTTAGCAGAAAGATATCTTAATGCTTATGCTGGCATAAAGCCTAGATAGGAATGGAAGCATCAGGAACCGTAGGAAATCCTCAACACAAAAAGAAAGAAAATAGGGAAATGTACACCTATAAGTAGGTACGAAATGAGAGAAAATTATAATGGAAGTAAAAGCCTTAACAGAATGTCTCAGACTCAACAATGGAGTTTGAGGCATATGAAGAATAAACAGAAATCGAGCAATGATCTTGTTCTTTTACCAAATAGGCAGTGTGGAACTTTTAATAAGAGGGCAGAAAAGATGACACATCTGATTACTATTTCCATTCTGCACTTGAAAAAAAAAGAAGGGAAAAAAAAAAGTATGATGTCCTACTGCCTGATGAAGAAATATTTTCCACTTCAACAGTAACTAAGGACTCTGCTAAATGACAACAACTGAGGTCAGAGGAAAATCAGCACATTGATATAAACTGTAGTTAAGAATTTCAGAGCAGTTTTCTGCTCTAAAAAGAGAAGCTATGGAGATTGCAGCTCATTGGACCATTAACATCCAAACTCGGTATGTCTTAGAATGCAAAGGAAACTCCACAGGACAAGGAAGAAAGCAAATGTTGTGACAACCTTTAAAAAATGTTAGTTTGATGGCTGGGATATCTGTCTGTCAAGTTGACATAAAAATAATTAATATTCTATATGAGATTTTCTAATAAATACATGGTATGATACACAACGTCAGTCGATATGTCAATATGACTGACATGCCTTATCAAACCAGTTTAACATGATTCTTGGAACTTACAAGTTTGACTAACAGAGATTGAAAAATGGGCATTAGAATAATATACTTTACAGACCGAATCAATTTGCTAATCAGGCCATGATCTATATCACAAAAACAGGATGAGAGAAGGCTCTTCAATCTATCAGGATACAGTATCATGACTACTAATGGTCAAAAGCAATATTCAGACAGGACAAATAGTTAACTGAGAAGGTAAATAGTAAACAGAATAATTTCACATCAGCTCTCTCAGAGCCAGTGTACACGTGTATCATCATATTATACAAATTTATGTCTCATGCTCCTGAAGTCTAAATGCTCCAAATTTAATGGGAAAAAAAAAAAAAAAAAAGAAAAAAAAAGGACCATAAGCATATCCCACCTCAAGAAAGCCAACAAAAAGCTTTGAGATTTAAAAAGGCTCTCTCAAATAAGGTTTTCTCCTCTTGAAGCAGTTGAGGACTCCAGACACCCTCATTCAGAAGCACAGAAGTAAAGCTGCTTCAGATGCCAACAAAAAAGGAAGAGATAACTCACTCACTACCCCTATAAGGGGCTGGGCTACAGTGAGGACACTATCTTCAGGATCAAAGACTGAAAACTGTTTTAAAAGGGCACTGAAAATACTCCCAGAGGGATTGCAAAGGAGCACATCAGTGCTGTAATTAGAATCACTACAGTATGAGAAATGCAGGCCTCGACCCTATTGTCTGATTTTTTTCTCTTTGCAAAAGTCACAGCACCGTGATTCCTTGAGTTTCCAGAGTCCACTAAAAATCAAGGCAATCTGGACTGCATCTGGGTTGCCTGTTATAAGCTACAGTCTTTAGTGATGCAGAATGAACTGGGAAGCTGGGGTAATGCCAGCCACCAGCAGAACTAGAAAAGACAAGCAAAGTTTCCCTCCAGTGCCAGAGGTAAAAAGATGGAACTATCCACTCAGATAGATCTGCCATAAGAAAGACTTTGATTGCTGAACATGGGAGTTCTCAAACAAGGTTGTTTTGTTCATATGCAAAATCCAGAGCTCAAGGACTAGTGCAGTATGAGTTTGAGTTGACCCAGTTATGGATAGCAGAACAAACTGCTCAGTTCAAACCTGTGAGACAGCAGATTATTTACTGTTGGGCAAATTCTGCAAATGGTGCAAATTCAGAGGTCAAATCTCTCCCACAGTAACAGAAAATATAGCTACTTTCACATTGCAGTAGCTGAGAAGTAACCTATCACCTTTTCAAGTGAGGGAGAAACTACTCCAAGCTACCTTGTTTCTACTGACAGAGTGTGTTATGATGGGAGCATACACCCTTTTCCACCATAACAAGACACTTCTTACCCTGCAACAGCTTATCTATTTGTCCATAGCCCAGTTAAAAACCTCCCCCCACTTCAGACAGCTTCTGATCCACAGGTTTTAATTACAAAAACCAGGCCTTGTCCCACACCTCTAAACTCTTACTTGCCTGTTGTATGTTCCAGTCACTACAACTTTTTTTGAGTCAGCTTTGTTAGTTCTTAGCAGTCTGGACCTAATTGTCCACAGCACACACATTCTCCAGTTCCTTGCAGCATAGCAGGTTGCTCAGTTTGAGCTACAACTATCTATATGCAAGTCTCCTTACCTCGATTGTGCTGCAAGAGGACAATAGTGGGATTGACGATTGTGGTAGAAGGATAGGCAGAGGCAGATTTGCTGATTGAAGTGATGGAGGTTGGATAGTCAGTGCCAGTGCCAGGCTGGGGCACTTCATTTAGCACAGGACCTGGGTCCTGAAAAGAAGAGCAACACATCATTAGTAACATGCAGAAGGCTACTACACTGGGAAAATCTGGAAAAAAACCCCAACATTTTAAGCTGAAAGAGAAGCATAATCACAGCAAATTTTAGTATAAAAGGCATAAGCATGAGTGTTACCCTGCTCCTTGTACATACCCTGCTCGTTGTTAATGGAATTAGTTTGCTAAGGCGGTACTATAATTATTTGGTGTTGGGTTTCACAACTCCAACTCCAAAAGAGGGCACTAAATTCATCTAGCAGGCTCTTTGGAGCAAACACAAGGTGCCAGAAATGAGCAAATCTGGTTGGGGGAGAAGATGCAGACATCTTTCCCCTGATACATACACACAAATATTTTTATTCCAAAAGTATTCTTTTCATAGCAAGTCAGACATGCAGAACTCATGCAGTTCTAGAGTGAAACATTATTACTGCAGATGGTTTGGTAAAGAAAGTCTGAGAAATTAAGTTAGCATCATCACTCAAGGGACAGTGTGACACCTACCTGATTAAAAAAATTACATAAAGCCCCAAAACTGATAGAGGGTAAAAGGCAGGACTCTAGCAAGGGAGATACTCAACATGGCTTTGCTGCTGGAGCACAGATAGCAATCTGTTCTTGCTCTCCTAAAGCATCCAGCTCTATTATTTGCTTATTTCAAACCCACCTCTGATATCACCACAGCTCTCACTGTTCTGTAGAAATACAGGCTATGTCAGCAGGGAGACTTTGAAAGCTAGTTCATCTTTGAACAACCTCAGTCCAGGGATACTGGGCTTTGGGTGGTGGTAAGGGGAAAAGATAAAGAAGGCATGATGACTAAGACTGTGTGTGTGCCAGTTTACACTGAGATTGTTCAAAGCTTCTTAAGGAATTTGGACACACAATTACTGTTAATGGGGAATGAGCATCCAAACAAAGAGAATATGGAACAGTGGACCAAATTCCTGCACTCCTGCTGCTCTACTGTCAGACTGAAATGCTGCAAGCCACTGATCTGTAAAATCAGCTGAGCGTTCAACAGTACTTTCATCACTATTTAAAAAACCCCTGAATATGCACAGAATATTGCTCCAGAAAAAATACTACTTCTGGCTTTTCTGGCCAAGTGTAACTGCAACTCAGTGCCCTTCATACCCACGAGCATGAGAGGAAAGGACTTAGAGCATCAAGCAGGGGGCTGAACAGGGGCCAGAGTGAGGTCAGGCACCAGAGCTCAATCATAGTGAGAATTGGCCATACTCAGAACAAGCATCTACAGTCGCTCCAACTTGGAGGGGAAATGGGGAAAAACAATCTTGTTCTGTTAGATGGTGGTGATCTTGGTCCAAGCAGCATCTGGTCAGGCCATAGACATTTCATGGGGACAGAAAAGAATCAGTGGTCTTCAGAAATACGTGTTCCCAAGAGAGAGACCCATCCCCATTTTGCTGTGTTAATATTCCAAACAATGCAATTAGGAAAAAGGATCAAGAGTCAGGGAGAAGTATAAGAATTGGGTTTGAACTTCACTTTGATAACTAAAATACAAATAAGAATCCCTCCAAGAAGAGGGATACTGGCTCAGGAGCCCCAGGAAAGTCACCAAAGTGGGTGAACAAAGACCATTTATATCATAGTGGAAAACTATGTGTGACTATATGCCTGAATTGAGCATGTCCAAAAACATTTCAAAACTCTCATCTCAAGGAAGTCAGGTACAACAAAAATCTACGATTTGGATGCCTCTTGACTTTTTTCTGGAGCCTGCAGATAGGCTCCATTTAAAAACCAAACAAAAAACCAAAAGCCCCCAATCAAAAATGAAACACGAAACCCAAACTTTGATTGCCCTCTGCAATAAAAAAAGTAGAAAGGCCAATGCCGAGAACTTTTGAAAATATCCTCAGTTGTTTTTTTCTTCCCCCCCTTCACACGCCTATTTGCTAGATCCCTATAGAACCAGAGGGCAGATCGAACATCATCATGAGAGAAAGGGTTTTCTGCTAAACTTCTTACTTGTCCTTACAAGCAAGCATATATACATATATATATATATATAAAATAAGGTGGTTTTAAGACTTCCAGTGCAAGAAAGGTCATGTACTTTTTGCCTCCTCCCTAACTTTATTTGAGAACTACTTTTTCTCCTTGTCCCCAAGGACTTTTTAAAATAGGTAACGTGCTTAAAGAGGAACAAAACCTAACCCAAGAAGAACACAGTAAATCCCAACTGTTATGGACTGAATTCTTCAAAATTTTCAAAGACAAGCAATTCCAAAAGAAGAGACACTCCCTGCCTAATCTATCTCACAGTACCTACATGCTTGGAAGACACTTAGCTCAGTAACTTATAACTTGTAGGTCATCGGATACTGGCAGCAATCTTACACTGATTTCATCAGGGATTTGTGTAGAGACCATATGGTCTTATAGCTCCAAGTGGAGAAAGCCAGCCCTAACCTTTATCTGGTCTGCTGTTGCTGCTTTAAATGTTAATCAAACACAATTAAGGATGCTATTAAAAGAGCCTGAAGAGATCAGTTAGTTGCAGCTATTCGGTTTATACAGATCCATTATTCTGAGCAACTCCTGTGAATACTCTGATGGTGTGCATCACCTGGCAGAACGGGCACAAAGGGAGCCAGTCAAATGTTGCGAGAAGTCGACAGAAAGTTCAGAGCTGCACAAGGCAGGCAAAACGCATGCACTAGCACAGGATGCAAACAAGGTTTCAGTTGTCATGCTGCTGGCAGGGAGTGAGTCATCGCTCCTCTCTCAAGTTTAGTATTGCAAGGAGAAAGTAATTTTAATCTGGGAATACAAATTTAGGAAAAGGGCGAGGAGGGTACTTGGCAAGCTTACTGTATGTGAGATGACTCCAGTGATTTCAGGCTTCAAGCCCCTGTGCAAAGCCCCCGTGACTGGAGGGACAAGTGAAGGTGGTGATGAGAAGAATGGCAGTTTCGGGTAAACAGAGGGTAATGTGCCAGATGTGGAAGGTGCTTGGTTATGGTGGGAGCCCCTCTGGAGATGTGGGGGAATGAAATCATCTAGAGTTGGAAAGGTCAAGGGTGAGCCAGGAGAAACAATCTCAGGGAATACGGAGCCTTGCCCAAAAGGAACCAGAGGCGGTGGTGGAGTGCTGGAGCTGCCTTCTTGTTGTCTGTCTGGATTAACCTGGAGGAGGGGGACTACTATAACTCCAGGCTGAGTTGTGGTGGTGGCAGTGGCATCCTGTAGGAAACAAGGTGTTGTTATGCAACGGGGGAGGACTGATACTTTAGTCTAACGCAGCCATATAGTGTCATGCAAGGAAAGTACCTAAAATGATACACAGCCCCACCAGATTTTCTTTCCTTAGGGAGACATACTTATTCAGGCTTGCAGCCCTGGTCCCTACGAACATATGCTTTTCCACAAAAATCTTCATTCCCCTCACCACCCTTCTTCTCCAATGCTGTGTAGAAAACCACAGAACAGTTCTGCATTCATCATCATTTGAGAAGCACTAGCCATCACCATACAGAGTTTGCTTCTTTTACACCTCCTTAAAATGGAAAGATCCTCACCAGCCCAACCCAACTCCCTACAAACACCACACACACACAAACACGCAGATCAACGTTGAGGGGGCACGCGTGGGGTGTTAAATATTATCGAGTAGAAGATCACAAGATTCAGGTGGCACAAGAAGTGCTCAGAAATTACGTAGGAGGGAATAAAGCATTAAGGGAACATTGTAATGAATTAAAGAACTGTTCGCACGGCTGAAAGAAAACAAGGTTATGGAGAAAACATGTACCATGCTGCGTCCCATTGCCTTGTATGGTGGCTGTCGCTGCTGAGTAAGGTAAGGCTCTTTTCTCATCCTGTCCTCTGTGGCAGTTGTGCTCTGGGGCTCTAGCACTCTGTCCCTCACAGCTTGCGGAGCTGGCGACTGAGTCCGGGAGGGTTGGCCCGCACCATAACTAACTGCGTCTTTGCTGAGGACAATGTAAAAGTACGGCCTGGGAGGAATAGGAGGAGGAGGAGCAGCAGGAAGAGACTTTTCAGTGTCTGTTACAGAGGAAACAATGTTGGTGGCTGGTGCCTGAGTGAGCTCAGCGCCCAAACTGGTGCTGGCTGCCTGGTCATGTGTGGTGCCAGCGGAATTCTGAGATGCGGCTGAGCAAGTGCTGTTAGATAAACAAGCTACATATAGTTTGCTGACCTTTTTATCCGCCTTCGTCTCATGACTGGAATTCATTCCAGCCTTACTACTGGGATCTGCCCTGTCAGGGTTGTGTTGTACGGATGATGCACCCGACGAGGAGCGACTTTCCAAGAGTGGCTGCCCAGCATGCACCTCATCTCTGGGGCCTGAAGAGGAAGAATGCCCTGCTGGCAAGCCTTGCTTCCCGCTGGGGACGGCCCCATAAGGGGTAGGTGATGACAAATAACACCGTGCACTGGTGGTTGGTGATGCACGCTGCGTATAAGGCTTGGGTGCATTCAGGTACACGCAGTCCATGATGGGCACTGGCAACAGGTTGGTCGCTTTAGTGTCAGTGCGGGGACGCCATGCAAAGCTTTCCTCTTTGGGAAGAGGAGGACGGGGAGGAGCAAGGGCCTGCTGAGGCAGAATCAAGGAAGTAGAGAAGGAAAAAGGAAGCAGCATCAAATAAAAGGAAAAAGGAAGGAAAAAAAATTAAATTCTAAGAATGAATTTGATCAGTGGACTTGGGTTAAGCAGGTTTTAATACAGCAAGAATAAAAAGCAAATACAGTATCTGGAAGGTCAGTGCAGAACTCACTCACATACATCATCTCATGCATTCTCTCTTTCTTAGTACAGTTCACTACAGCACACAAAGTTTACCCAGCTTTCACGTCTCTGCCTACACGTTTCTCCCTCTGGGCAAAATAAACCTCAATACAGTATTGTTTCAAGAGACCTGCACAGTAACATCCACCATGCCCCCAGGAAAGCCCAGATCAAGATTTAACACCATGGTTAACTAAACTCAGGTTCATGCATGTGGAACTAAATAATTCCCAGCACTGGGGACTTTTGAATCGCAAAGCCAAATTCAGAGCTCTAGGCCATATCTGCATGTTAAGTGCACTGCTGAAAAATGAACGTTGTGAAGTTTCACCAGTGCTAATGAAAGCAGACATCATGAGAATACTGTAGCCTACCACAGCTGGCTAAGTAAAAAGCATTTCTTCCTTCTAAAGGCTAGCTCTTCAATTCTCTTCAGGATTTTTCCATCCTGAAAATGCTTTCAGGAAGACCGGAACAATTAAAGTTTCTCGAGGAACTGAGTTCATCAGAATTTGCCTCCAGAATCAAGATCACCAACAGCGAAATCCTGCTGCTAGTAAATAATAAGAAAAGCTTTACTGGTTTTGGTACTTAGCAACATATAGCTTGCTAACTCCAAATTGCCTGCTGACTGCAATTCCAATTAGAGTGAATTTTTTTCCTGAGAAAAAAACCTGAGAATGAAGATGTCTTAACAGTTTGCAACATTCAAATCTGAAAGCAGCATCCACTAAAATTCATTCACATATGACAAGTTGTGGCCAGCACCTATTCTTGTTACATGAACATAGATGTAGAAAAGTTTCATAAAATTACAGCTTATGTCCCAAAATCTACTGTCCTCATGCTGCCCCCTCTGCCCCTCCCCACCTTCCCTGATGCATAAAGAAGTACAGAAAGGGGTTGGTAAGTGCTTTTCTGAAGGGTTTCTGCCTCTGAACAGGCTCATTCCTTTTGGAATTTCTTTCATTTCAGCTTAGTTTGAACAGCAGTTCTTGAGACTTCTATAACAAGTACTACGTGCATGAGTTCTCTCTCTGTTGAACAAGATCAGGAATGGACTACAGGACAGCTGTATGTCTTGAGCAGAAATGGGTCTCTCTTAATCGTGCTGCTCCTTCCCACACCTTCATTCGAGCTGTACCTTCTTCCACTTTCACTTACGATTTCAGGAACGGTGTCAGGTCTGTAGCATTGCTATAGGACCCTGATGATGGAAACAGTCACGCTGATAGAGGGAAAAGGCTTTAAAGGGACTCTGTTTCACATAAGAATGCAGTCTCTAATGAAAGGCTTCCTTACAGGCTTTCAGACTGCTTCTGTGCAGACTGAGCACCCAAAAGAAAATCATGAAGGTACACTTCTCTTAACAGATTGACTTCAACAATTTACCTTCAGGTACAAGCAAACTTTCTCTTGTTAGTTTGTATCAGTTACAGTGTTTAAACTGAAAGACATTTTCTCAATATATTATTTTTGTTGTGGGGTGCAACTGATTTCAGCCTGCAGCAACCTCTAGGAAATATAACCAACATAAAATACAAAATAGTTACAGATGACTACTTCACCTTTTTTCTTTCAAACAAGCAGCATTGTCCTCCTCCTTCATCCACCAAGGAAACACTGTGGTGTGCCTGAATAAATGAGCTCCACAACACTTTGCTGACATAAGGGTTGCCCCCATTTTAAAGGTAGAAAAAGCTGAGGCACAGCAACTTACCCATCTGCAGCCAAGTCTGGAGTTCAGCCCAGGACTCCTGACCATGAATCCAGCGCTTGAACCCAGATGCTCACCCTCAGGGTCACAGAAGAAAGGCTTACCTGTGGCTTGCTATCTGAGGAAAGGTTCGGACGCACACTCCTATAACCCTTGGCAGCCAGAGAAGACGGCTGGGCATCCCCATTGGCATCAGTGGTGGACGACGACCTCCAATCATCTATGGTGGGAAAGAAAACTCAGATCACAGAGGATTCCCTCTAGCTACAGGATAAGTGAAAGGAGGGGACTTTTCTTCCATTTTTTTCCCTTTTTTTTTTTTTAATTAGGCAACAAGAAATAATTCCAATAAAGCAACAGAAGTAACAGCATAAGCAGCCAATGTTTGTACCTGTTTCTGAGTTTTCTGGCTCCAGACCTAAGCATTTCACAGAAAGGAGGGACAGAGGAGGTGGGGGTGGAGGATAGGCAGAGAGGAAGGGGAAAAAAATAAACCATTACATTTACAGAAAACATGTACCAATTGAAGTTAAGAGTCAAGCTACTTCATTTCACACATAAAATGCTTTCTGACAGGGTTGCCTAATTACCATAGAGACCGGCCCTAAACATGATGCCCTCCTTGTTTCTGACCTTTGTAAACACAAGGCAATTCATTCAGAGCAATGAAGAAACAATTGTTCATTGACATTCTTATTTCAGAGGCAAAAAGGCAGCCCAGCTTGCTACTTTTTAAAGCTGCAGCTTGACATCCAGACACCGCAAATTACTGGAAATGCAGGGACCCTGTGTTCAGCCATGACACAGATTATGAAGACATATCTATCCTCATCAACATCACTATATATGATTAATTGAGATACAGGACTGCCAACAAATAGATCAGGTCTGCAGAAAAAGTGCACGAGGGGAGTTATAAGATACGATGTCACTTTACAACCCAGTCCCTGCAGCTACACAAAGCAGCCTCATCACATATTTACCCACCTCCCACTGGGCTCCTCCCCACCCCTCATTTTGCTGTTTAAGTTATATGCAAAAAGCTTTTCCAGCTCCAAAGTACATTTCATAAAGCGATTGAGAGAGTAAGCAAAGGAAGTATTAACAAGCTGATTTCCATAGTAATGGGCTCATTGCCATTCAAGCTGTTGGAAATTTATGAAGCCATCAACAGAAAGGAGAGAGGCAACAGTGGGGGGTAAGAGTGAAGAAACAGAGAATGGCAAGCATTAAAAGAGAGTAGGTCACGGGTGGGGCAGAATGGGTGAAGACAGAGCAGAAAGTGCCACATTGAGGCTGGAATTAATGGAATTGCCCTTTCTGCAACAATACAGTCAGAAACCATGTATGCTTTGCTTTCAAGAGCAAGTTTTACCCCCTCCCCCCTTAACGGCATCTTGCCTTTGGGAGTTCATCCTCTCTGCCAGACCCACGACACTGGCCAGGTTTATTATGCTTTGCCTGTCTTCTACGATTAAGTAATTACACGTCTGCTATTGAAAGATGGCAGAGCTCTGTGGCGACACTGTCTGTCTGGGACGCCATCCCCGCTCCCCTGACAACCCAACTGAATGCTGCGGGGGCAGGAGCCCCATTCTGCTTCTTTCTGTTCCACCTCACGCCTGGGATAAAAGGAGGTGACACGGGCCAGCCAGGTGAAAAAATAATAAAAGAAAAGAGAACTGAGAGATTCTGGCAGTCATGACAAACTTAAGCCAATGACTAAATGGTCATGAAACCTGCACCACGGAAAAAAGCACAAGTCAGTCTCTCTCTGCTGGTCTGGGTCTTGCAAGAGGTTACCAACTATGCTACAGAATTTTGGGCTTTAAACCATAGCTAAAAAGTCACCCCAAGACCCTGGACTGACCTCTCTTGAGGTTACAGTGAGTAACATATTCCAGTTCACCTTCCACCGACTTACTTTCAGGTTGTTCAACATCCTGAGGACATGGCGAGGTGATATTCCGATTCCCTTCATGGGCTGGAGTTGCCCGGAGGGTTACAGCTCCTTTTCCACTGCAGACTTTAGTGGGATCCGTTTCTACAGGACATGCACATGCACAGAAGAGACACACAGAAAGGGATGATACAAAGCTATTAGGAGCCATCAGAGCTCTAGAGTAATTTTAGCATGGTTGCCTCCAGGTGAATCAATCTAGTAATGTTTGTGCAGATGAACATTAGCTCTGTATTTAAAGCATTGAGAAATCAAAGCAGTTTCATATTCATGTAATTGATGAATGTAGCATTAGGTTCTGAGTTGGAGCAACAGAGCTAAGAAAGGAAGAAAAAAGGATGAATGTATGTTTGAACCAAATGTCACAGGTCCATTTGCTTTATTTGTTCTGCTTTGCATGGAGATACTGTGCTAGCAAGGACAGTCTACCATTAACCTGTGGCTCTTCCATAGGGATTTCCCAGTGGTATAATGCAATACGATTTTTGTGCTGAAGCTTAAAATTGCCTTTTGTGGAGGACTGAAAGAGAAAAAAAAAGACTTATAACCACTGAAAGACAAAATCTTGTAGCTATGCTGAATATGACCTAAAAGCAGGGCACTGCAAGCCACCTCCTTGCTATGTCCCTGTTTCATGACAGTGTTTCATCTTCTGACACAGGAACCCAAATCCAAAACCTAGAAGGAGATTTAACATGTATCTGTTCAGATCAACCTGCGAGTCAGTCAAGTGTCCTTGCTGAGGCACAGTTCAAGCACAGCTTCTGTGCAGGCTTACCTTTGTGCATTTCAGTCCATGGATTTGGGTTTTCTCCTCCTGTCATCCTATTAAGTAATAATAAACCAGTACTTCCAGGCTATCTTTCTCCCCCTACGTAAAATCTTTCTGGAGAGTTGTTTCCTTTCAGATACCTATAGAAACAATAAGCCTAAAGAATCTCTCACTTCTCTAAGATACTTCCACAGAAAAACACATCATGATCCCTTCTCAGGCACTATTAGTAACCCAGCAGCTGCCATCAGACTTCACTTTGACCTACCAACCTACTATGACACTGCACTGCAAGCATGAAGAGATAATGAGCACATGTTGCATTACACGAGTGACAACACAATGATTTTGATATTTTCATGAGGTGAGGATCATATCTCTGCATTTTGAGGGATGCAGCTCCTCTCCAGATCCATATTTAGGACTGTGGAAAGGATGGTGTAAGTAAGAAATCAGAGGATACTTTATTACAATTCAGTCCCTAGTTAACTTAGGCAGCATTAATGCAGCCTCTGTGAGGGGAAAAACTACCCATGCAGACATATACAAAGATGCTTAATCCTAAAATATGACACATTTGCACTCACACTACACACCTGATCACAACCTAAGATCACCCAAATGCCTTGTGAAATAGAAGTTGGCTTCTCCAATTGATTGTCACGTGATTCAGAAAGGGTCAGGATTCCTTTTGGCCAAGAGTGCAGTTCTGGCTATCACTTCCATCTGTGCTGCACAAAACACAGCCCCAGGACTCTACAGACTCACTTTCTAACCACAGGACAAAGGTTTAAGTTCCAAGACTCCAGTTATAAGAGTGCTGGAACTCTAAGGTATGGACACACAGTTGGGAGTCACTGGGCCTAATTTAGACATTACAAAGAGCACAGGGTAGCTGTTCTACAACCCTATGCCTGTATTCCCTTCACAGGCACTGAAGAGAAATGGAAACACTGAAAATTCAACATGTCATATATGACTAAATATCTTCTTCATCATATTGGAGCAGAATCAAATTTGGGAATCAATGCTTTTTTTTTTTTAATTTATTTTTCATACAACATATTAAACCTGTATACCGAACCAAAAAAATAAGAGTCAGAAAAAAATGGTCTGAACTAAAAAAAAAGCGTTTTGAAAATGTTTGAAAATAAAATCTTGCCAGACTATTTCATCTTGAGAGATGAAGAGAAATACTTAAGATGTTGAATTCCCTCACAGTTTAGGTGAAATGACAGGAAACAGAAATCTGAGTATCTCAGCATAGAAATACAGCAAATGACAATAAACAGGACATTAGCACTGTACTAGTCCAACAAAGCACATGTGTAACAAATTAGGAGAGACAAGCGGTATCAGCTAGACTAGTCTGATTGTCCAAAGCCAGGAAAGTACAAGAATAATCTTGTACTTTTAGTGCACAAGCACATGCTTGTGGAGAGGTGACAGGCAGCCTAACATCCTTACTTATTCATATAAAGATTAAATTCAGTGTGTGTACAGAAAAAAAAACATCCCACCAACACTGAACTATGCTTGAACCATTTCTTTTCATAATGACCAAAGATATGCAGGAAACATTCTCTGGTTCATCAGGAGTTTGGTTCAAAACGAGTCTGTAATAATAGTATTTTTCATAATCAAGCATTAGTAGAAGAGCTTACAATGATCCCAGATTCAAGCAGACACAATTATGTCTGCAGAGGAGCAGCATAATTGAGAACAGTGCATTGTGCCATCAAGAGCTAACTGCATTACCTACTGATGAAATCTACAGCTCTGGGAGGAGTGAGAAGAGGATGAAGCTGAGAACTAGCCAAAGCGCGTGGGTGAAGCAAAGGGACAGAAAGAGAGAGAGAAGAAAGAGAATGATGGCCAACTAATGTGTGGCAGGGGAGGAAGGAAGAAGATACCTGTAGGCAGCACTAGGTGAGGAGAACTTTTCACTTTCTTCACAGGGATTATTTTAACGGCAGAAATAGAGCGTGTACATAAAGGGACGCCAACAGCTGCAAACACAAAAGTGTAAATGGCACATCCAAAAAGGGAAGAACAGAGTTTGGGAAGCATGCCACAAAATTTTCTAATGTACTTGGAGACACAATAGCAGGAAATTTCAAATACAAAAGCAGTCTACAGAGCAATGATGCAACTGTTAAAAATATCCCTTCGTTCGCCCTAATTCAGGATGTGTCTGTTTTACGCAGCATACAGAACTGCTTACTGAATGGACTAACTGCTGACTGCCACGATGCTGCAGGCAAAAAGAATCTGGAAGCATTAGTTTTTAGAAGCCATCAAAAAATTTTAGTGTAGTCATTTAACTGAGGTACACTACATGCAAAAATAAAAGTGTTAAGTAAAACATTAATATGGCTCAGTTAAAACAAAGTGAAAAAACAAGGACTGAAATGTTGAGAGAAAAACATTACACGAATTCTGAATTTTATGGCACATATTTCACAAGTTCAGCAACAGAAGGAAGTGAAATGTGAAATCGTCTTGAAAATAGTCCCATACCAAAGAGTAGCATCCACATAGTTATTTCAGAAAAAAACCCCATCCGTATAAACAGTAAATTGGAGATTTCTACTGGACTCCGTCAGCTAGCACACTATTTATGCTGGGGGTAGTAACATTGAGGAAAATCACACATCACTAAGCAAAATCCTAGCAATTGTTACAAAACTGTTCAAATCAACTGGTACAAAGAGGGATCATTGTGAAAAAAAGCAAAACTACTCCGAGGTGAAGCTCAACAGAACCTGCCAAGATAAACATCCTGGGTATCATCACTCTACCAGAATAACTTGTGTTCTTGATTTCTGCAGGGCCAGGATTTGCCCCTTTAAAACCTGTTTTCGGCGCGTATTAGCTGCAAAATGCTAGATGCCTCCTCACGTTCCACGGCATCTCTCTCAAGCCTGAAAAATCAGGAGTAAGAGGAACCCCATTCCTAACACTTCACACACTAATACTGAGCACTGGGCTAGCTTGAGGGAGACGTTGACATCACGATAGTGTGTACACCCCCCTCTTGTGGCAGATCTTTCTGATTCCCGGCAAAACTGGAAAGCACAGACTTCACCAACCTAGAAAAGGAATCTCAAGCAAAAGGATGGGGGAAATGCTCAACAGATTTTTTTCAAACTTCAGAAAATCATTAATTTTTAATTCGATAGGATTGTTTTAAGTTTTTTTTTAATAAAAGAGGAACCCAAATAAAATCCTGTTTTCCTTGCTTCTCCCTGAGCACTAGAGACCCTGCAAATACAACAGATCCCAAATCAAATAGCCTGTGGTTTAGGAAACAATCCTAATTCTGTTCTGCTCTGAAACTCACTGAATTTATCCATCCACAATGCAGTCAAAATACTAACCACTATAAAAAGACATCAAAGGAAAAGAAAGGAAATTAAACCAGCAGAAAAGCAACCCATACAACCACATACTTTCACCCTGCCAAAAGAGACACTATCACCATTAAAACCAGAATGCTATAAAGCACACTGCAAACCTGTTGATGTTAATATGAAGACTAGTTTGCTTAGTTTTTTTTTAAATCACTTAAATGGTTAGTTCCTGCCCTTTAATCCTGACCTTAAGCTTCCCCCTCTCACTGACACACAGGCACCCATAAACCCATGCTGTCTCAACACACTAAGATATTGATTCACAGGTGCTCACAAGTACCACAAGTAGTGCACAGCTTTGCTCAAAACAGCACTAAAAATATACAAAGAGGCAAGTCCAGCCTGCCACTTTTAAGAGACAAAGAACACTTGTTGAGCTAAGAAACGCTGCTGCTATTAGCATGGTGCAGCACAAGGCTCTTCTTGTATCAGTCGCCAAGCAAACTAAATTTGGAAACCCCAGCTACAGTGAATTTCCGGGGAAATCAACCACATCACGCAGCTGACATGCAGGGGGAGCTGCAGAGGCGTCTCTGAAGCTCTTAACCCACCTTTTTCTTGTCCGTTGCTGCTCAGCCCATTGACAACAGTTTTTGCAGCATCAATTTCTTCGTGTTCTGCAAGACAAACGGAGAAGCGGTTTTCAAGAAAGATTTTTAAAATCTGCAACGTCCTCAGCTGACTTGAATAAAACTGGCTCTTGTGAATTCAGAGAAACACAGAAGACAGTGCTTGAAAGGATCACCAAAGGTCATCTAAAGCCCTATTCCTGAACCAGGACAGAAACAAATCTACCTCTGTCACTGCTGACAAATGTTTTCCTAATGAGTTCTTACAAACTTCCAGCATCAACCTAAAGCAACCTGTTCCAGTGCTTCACAGCCTGTGAGCTTATCAGTGCTTAAACCAAGTTCCAAGATCATGGTTTTCTGGACTCTCTTCAAACAGTTCACGTTTTTCTCAAAATGTGGTGCCAAAAGCAGGACATGATACTTCAGCTGAGGCTTGCTAAGATGCTAAAATCAAGTGGGAATATTATTCCATAGATCCCACATATGGCACTTCAGTATGGCATCTTATTTGTTTTTCACTCTGATTTAGCCTGTTCCCTGGGCAAGGTCAGAAGTTTTCCTTTTCCCAACCAGCCCTCATTTCCTGGTCCCCTGTTTTTCTTTGAACAGCTGATTTTTCCTATCCAGATGTCAAACTCCGAATTCATGTCTACAAAAACATATCAAATTCAGATAATTTTTTTCAGGTAATGGGTAATTCTGAATTATTGTATTCCAAACTGAAATAAGCCAAAGTGACCTACTCCAGCTCAAGATCTTTCTGGTAATTTTTTTAGCATTATGGGTCAAATTCAAGCAACAAATGTGAATAATTGCATGAGAAAGAGCAGGAATATTATGAGTAATAAAAAGGAAGGCCAATGGTGGCAAGTAGAAAACAGCAGAGACTTACCAGAGCTCATTGTGGCAGAGGGACTTTCCTTTTTTACTTCTGGATTTTGTTTATGTCTGTTTAAAGGGAAAGGCAGAATGATTACATTATGTTTCATGTCAGCCTAGACAGCACTGGACACGATACTGAACATTCACAAGAGTCAAGACAGTTTCTTTAAAAAAATTAGTTTCAAAGGCCAAATGGATTTTTGTTGAGCACCAGAGACATTTTTTGCTGATAATTATCAGAAATTAAAGAGTATTTCCACCCAATATAGGTACTACTTCCAGACTTTAAGACTAATCTTTAATATTAAATTTAACTATACTGATTAAAGCCTGAGTCCATACAGGGCAAAGCACAAGTCTGCCTAGTTTCTAATACATAAAACATGCATCACCTTTAAAAAAAATAATTTAAAAATCAAAGTGACACTAAAAGCTTTGAAACCCTCAACTTAGAGCATTTCCATATTTCAAGGCAATCTGTTGCTCAGATTAAAGTTTGTCTCTCCTTTGAAAGATATTACATTACAGAAGAGATGCACTTGTCAAAATGCCTATTAACTTCTACACCAATCATTTCCAGTCCTATGATGCTGCTGATATTTTCAGGATCAGACTCCAGTAAGTGAACTTGAAAATTGGAAGCTTTAATCCTTCTGGGACCAAAGGCAGTGAAATTACCAACCCAAGGGAAAAAATACCAGATGGGGATCAGAAGAGAAAAAAGTTAAATTGCATGGTCACGACAGTCTACAGAGGACAACTGTGAGGCTTATTTGTACTCACTCCTGTGAGGACTTGATACCTGCAGCAGAAAAACAGGTTTCAATGTCACAGATACTGGTTTGAATAGCCAAAGAGCAGCCTTTCTACAAAACAAGTCCATGACAAGATCTCTCAGCTCTCTAAAGGTCCCAGGTTGAATCAAAACCTCTTTAAAATCTTGTGTTCCAATCTCCACCTCCCCCTATCCTCCCCCCCCACCCCCCCAAAAAAAGTCAGTGCTAAAGAGAGTGAGATCAAGTGTAACTTCAGACAATTGATGGCTTCCATGACACAAACAGAATTATGTATCTGAGACCATGAAATCACGCACAAACAAGGACTGCAATCAGTGAAGTATAGGGGAAAATTGCTCAGAGAAACAAGAAACTAAACAAGAGAGTTGGAGATATTTGTTTTCTTGTTACATGAACTGGAGGCAGCAGTGGGACATTGTAAGAGGTGGAAATTTTCTTCAGGGAATTGAATTTGCTCTCTTGCTTCAAGCGTCCCCATCCTTAACTAGCATTTGTTTCATACCAGCCAGAATATAATGAGCATGTTCAACAGTCACTCAAAAGGAAAGAAAATTCAACAAACAAATATAGTAACAGATGAGTCCATAAAACCAGCCAATATCTGGGCTCCCCAGCATGCCACCCTAGGAACAGCTGCCCATACTTAATTATTTAAATATTTTGTTCACTGAAATAACCATTCAGGATATATATTGCAGGCTGGTGAAGGCTCAGAAGGATGCAGCCCAACTCCAAGATGATCCCAGTAAAATACAGTGTAAAGTGAAGGGTGCAGTCTAAAACCAGTCAACAAAAGCCGAGTCCAAATTAAAGGTCTTCTGCCTGACTGCCTGCCATACAGTATCTGCTTTTTGTTTCTACCATTTCATATTAGGAGTGAGTACCCTAAAATAGTAATGGTTGACACAGCCTGAAAATATAGACAAATGTACTTAATAACAATGGTCTTTCTGATCTCCAAATGTTTCCACTACAGAAAGGTGCCTTAGTTCAAGCAAACCAGAAAGAAATAGCCTAAAATAATATCTTATCCAGTCTAAGGAAGTTTGTAGCAATATCACACTATTCTACACAAAGCGAAATGTTACATGCTAATCTGACTGGGATAAATACAAATCCTTCCATGGGGCAGGGAGAAAACCACAAGAAAGGGCAGTACTGCAAAAAATGTCAACCCAGCTGTAGGATTAACCCCTCTCTGAAGCTGAGGAGGTTGCTGGTACCCTGCAGTTTTAACGCAACACTGGCCCTTTCCATAGACTTCATGCAAGTCAACACAAAGTTTCTTCCACTTTAAACATTCCCAAAGGTTGCAATGCTTTCCTCTGGTATAGAAGATAAAAAAGGAGGGGAAAAATAATTTAGTGTGTTACCTTTTCGGGGTAGAAAGAGGATTTACTAAGTCTCATGTCTGGGCAAAGGCAGAGTCCACTACTGTTGCAATCCCAGAGCAACACATGTTCCCTTCCACAATGGTAGTATCTGAGCAATTAAACTCGTGACCACATGCTTTATACTTTTTAAACAGCCATTTGTTTAGAAACAGTGACATCACAAATGCCATAAAACTCTGTTTTCAGTGATGTCTTTTTGATTCAAGAGTGTTGACATGGCTTACAGTGTGAAGTACTGGCTTCCACTGCATTTAGAAAAGCATTTAGAAAAGAATCAAAACAAAACAAAAAAAAAGGGCACAATTATTTAGCATTAATAGAACAAATTAATTTTTACAAAAGGTTATTTGAGGCTAAAAATAAAGTGATAATTAAAGAAGTTCGCTAAAATGCAAGATGTGTACAAACTCATCAGAACTAGATCTAGAAAAATTAAGTTCTCACATATCCTCACATTTCCTAGAAATTACAGAATTAAAATAACAAACATCCAGTATTCACTCACTGTGAAACTAATCCACATCATTCACGCACACAAACATATGCTTAATGTAAGCTCATATACACAGAATGGATTCAGCATATTCAGGATGAGTGGAACCAACCCTGAGCTCCTGGGTTAGTCTAACTCCAGAAAGTCCATTTAAAAGTTGATTTTGATCAGTTGAGAATCTGCACACAGACTTGCTGTATACAGGTAGAATTAGCTCTTGTTTAGATTGATATCTGCAGGTTTGGAGTTGAGAACATGCTTTGGCACTTCTTTGCGTCAGGGCTACAGTTACTCTAGCTGTATCCCATATAATTAACCCAAACCACATACTGATGTCCTATTAGGCTTATCTCAGCCCTGAGCTGCTCTTGGGACCAGACAGACCAGTCAGATTGCATATCTGGCTCCATGGCCCCACTATAGCAAACTGTTGCCTGCTCTAACATCTGGGAAGGTACCCGCTGTAAGCCAGTGTGCCATGAATGTTTGGATGTAACATCCTTAGAGCAGTCTCTGTCAGGATGGACAGGTGGCTGTCCCTGGGAGCAGGTGGGTCTGGAAACATTTGCTGCTCCCAGTTCACCTCAAGAACTTCCTGTAGACATGGCCAAGCCATTCCTTAGACATTGATGCAAGTATGCACAGCAGCACTTCAGAAGGGAGCCTTTCAAAGGGAACCAAGAATGAGATCCCTCATGTCAGTATTAACAAAGAAAATAAAAAGAATTTTAAAAATACTCCAAAACAAAACCCCCAAGTGTCTCCTTCCACCTCTCTGCTCTAACCAGCTAACCAGTACCTCCTTACCAGTCTGGAACTAGTGCCTTCCCTGAAATGTGACAGACATAGCAACAAAAGCTTCAAAGCTGCAAACATTCTAAACACAATGAAAGGTAATGAATTCCTCAGGGCATAAGCCAGCAGCTGTAACCCTGAGCGTGCCAATGTCCATATGTAACATCCACCAACTCCTCGTCAGTTCAGTCCTACCTCTAGGCGGATGTTTAACATTTCCTTCCTCCCTTTCACCCCCCAGCATATTTCTTCCAAGGCTGCAGTTCCTTCCCTACTTGGTGTGGAAAAGAGAGCAGTATGTTCAGAAGCCTATTTAGGAGGAATGTAGATAAGTGGCAACTACTTCTGTACAGTGTGTCTGGATTATCTCACATGCTCTAAAGGTTTGAGTACTCCCCCTGCAATGGCAGGGGGTAACAAACAGCTCATTAATAGTTCTGAGCAAGGACACACGCTCTTAAGTCACTGGTATCTCAGCTAGGAGTCGCAGGCGGTGGTTATTTTTGGTGGTCTAATGTGAGTGTGGGGAGAAGCAACTTCCTTTCATTTCTTCTCTTATTATTGACAGCTCTGATGACTCATGTAGGATTTTAAAACAATTGCTAGACATGAAATGGGCATTCAAAACTTACTAGGCTGGTCCTTTATATTTCTGAGATTTAGACTCCTGCTTTATTTTCTCAGTTCTGAGTTTTTCACATTTTCAAAGTTTTCTCTCTATATACACGAGCTTTCAGTGGTTTGTGGCTGCATTTAAATTAAATATCAAATTTTTATTTATATTAGTATAATCTAGGAGTTGAGGCTTTCAGAAGAAGGTAAGTTTTCAGACTTAAATGATGATTAACAATCACAAAACTTACTTTTTACCTGATCAGGTCTTACACATCACTCATTTGCTTCACCCCAGGCTCAGACCCTTTCTCACAATGCCACCCAGTCTCCCTGACCCAAAGGTTCTGCTCAATGAGCCATGTCAGCAATGTGGAGTCCCAAATCTCAAAAGATGGCAAAGAGCTCCACTGCAGTCAGTGCCTCCTACCAGGAGGTTCCTCTGCTTAAAGGAACTTGCTGGAAAGCACATCTTCTCTGTACTTCTCACTTTGCAACACATAAAATGTGGCAAGAAAAAAATAACTAGAATACAGTAGGCAGCACCAGGGTGACCCAGGCAATCAGCTATCTCTCCAAGTATCCTTATTCTTTTATTCTGAAATACTGCAATCCGTTGCCTGTCATTTTTATTTTAAGGGTTAAAGAACAGCTTGTCATTCCTTCAGAATACGTTATGCTCCTAAGAATAAATGTCATGAAAAGACTGAGTAAGTAAGCAGTGCACACAGAAGAATCATACCAATTCTGTACAAAACAACAACATCCCCACACTCTTCAGCATACGTTAAGACAGCAAAGAGAGAGCACTGAAAGATCACTAAATGAAACAAATGGCAGCATAAACATCAGCTTGGGTAAGATGTTCTTATAAATAAATGAACTTACAGCTGTTGCAATAAACAAACACAGCACATTTCATATGCAGTATTACTTCTCTTTTTTTTTTTTTTTTAATATAATGTATGTTTGTTT